TTGTGCTTTCAGTCACAAAGTCAGAAAAAATATTCCATGCAAATGTAAGTGGGGGGGAAAAAAGCAGGGGAAACAATATTTCTATCAGACAAAATAGACTTTATTTTTTTTAAGTTATATTTATTTTAGAGACAGAGTGAGCACACACAAGCAAGGGATGGGGCAGAGAGAGGGAGAGAATCCTCAAGCAGACTCCCTGCTGAGCACAGAGCCCTACTCGGGGCTCAATCCCATGACCTTGAGATCATAACCTGAGCTGAAATCAAGAGTTGGGGATGCTCAACCAACTGAGACACCTAGTCTGGTGCCCCAGACAAAATAGTCTTTAAAACAAAGACTTAACAAGAGACAAAGAAGGGTATTACATAATGATAAAGCAAACAATGCAACAAGAGGATAGAACAACTGTAAATCTCTCTACACCCAATATAGGAGGACCTGACTATATAAAGCCAATATTAAGAGACATAAAGGGAGAAACTGACAGTAATACAAAAATAGAAGGGGACTTAACACCCCACTCATGTCAGTGGACAAATCACCCAGACAGAAAACTAACAAGGAAATAGTGACTTTGAATGACAAGTGTGACCAGAGGGACTTAACAGCTACATTCAGAACATTTCATCCTCAAGCAGCAGAAAACACATTCTTCTCGAGTGTACACAGAATATTCTCCAGGATAGATTTCATGCTAGGCCACAAAAGAAACCTCAATAATCTTAGGGAGTTTGAAATCATATCAAACATCTTTTCTTTTCAAAGAAAGGGAAAGCAGACTTCCCCCCTGAGCAGGGAGTCTGATGTGGGACTCAATCCCAGGACCTTGAGATCATGACCTGAGCCAAAGGTGGACACTTAATCATCTGAGCCACCCAGACGTCCTTAAGCATCTTTTCTGACCACAATGGTGTGAAAGTAGAAATCAAGTACAAGGATAAAACCAGAAAAAAACACCAAGCGGATGCTAAACAACAGGCTACTAACCAACCAGCAGGTCAATGAAGACATCAGAGAGGAAAGCAAAAGATACATGGAGACAAATGAGAATGGAAACACAAGGGTCAAAATCTTTGGGGTGCAGCAAAAACAGTACTAAGAGGAAAATTTAAGTGACACAGTCCTACCTCAATAAACAAGAAAAATATTAAATAAACAACCTAACCTTACTCCTAAAGGAATTAGAAAAAGAACAAATAAAAGCCAAATTTAGTAGGAAGAGGAATAATAAAGATTAGAACCAAAATAAATGAAATAGAGACTTAAAAAAAATAGAAAATAACTATGAAACTGAGAGCTGGTTCTTTGAAAAGATAGGCAAAATAGATCTTTAGCTAGACTCATCATTCTTGATGAGTCTCCTTTTCTAAAGGAGACAGGACTCAAATACATAAAATCAGAAAGAGAGACATTACAACAGACACCACAGAAATATAAAGAATTATAAGAGAAAATTACAAGAAATTATAAACCAACAAATTGGACAATCTATAAGAAATGAACAAATCTGTAGAAACATATGACCTTCCAGACTGAATCAGAAAGAAATAAAAAATCAGAACAGACCAACCACTAGTAACACAATTGAATTCATAATCAAAGAACTCCCAAGAAAGAAAAGTGTACAACCAAATGGCTTCCCAGGTGAACTCTACCAAATATCTAGAAAAGAGTCAATATCCATTCTCCTTAAATTATAAATACACACAGATCAAAGGCATAGAGTAAGGAGTCAGAAATGAACCCCTGTTTATATGGTCAGTTAATCTATGAAAAAGGAGGCAAGACTATAAAATGGGGAAAACACAGTCTCTTCAGTAAATGGCACTGAGAAATGGGGCAGCTACTTGGAAAAGAATGAAGCTGAACCACTTTCTTAAACCACACAGGAAAATTAAATTGAAATGGGTTAAAGATCTAAAAGTGATAACTGAATCTATAAAAATCCTAAAAGAAAACATAGGCAATAAACTCTTAGACAATGGTCTTCTCAATATTTTCATGGATCTGTCCCCTCAGACAAGGGAAACCAAAGCAAAAACAAACAATTGGAACTAATCAAACTAAAAAGCTTTTGCACAGCAAAGGAAACCATCAAGAAAATGGAAAATCATAGATTTTACATAGATCAGTAAAACAGACAGAAAGCCCAAAAATAAACCCATGTGTATATGACCAAAAATCTATGACAAAGGAGCCAAAAATAGACAATGGAACAAGGACAGTGTTTTCAGTAAATGGTATTGGGGAAACTGGACAGCCACATGCAGAAGAATGAAACTGAACCCCTACCTCACACCAGTCACAAAAATTAACTTGAAATGTATTAAAAACTTGAACATAAGGGCTGAAACCATAAGACTTCTAGAAGAAAACATAGGTGGTAAGCTTCTACACATCAGTCTTGACAATGATGCTTTGGATTTTACACCAAAACCTAAAGTAAATAAGTAGAACTATATCAAAACAAACAAACAAACAAACAAAAACTTGTATACAATAAGGAAATCATCAACAAAATGAAAAGGAAACATATGAAATAGGAAAAAAAAATTTCATATCATGTATCTGGTAAGAGGTTAATATCTAAAACAGATGAAGAAGTCATACAAAAAACAAAACCCATCAAAACCAAACACACACAAAAAACAATCCAATTTAAAAATGGGCAGAGGAAATGAATAGACAGTTTTCCCAAAGAAGATATGAAAATAGCCAACAGGTACATAAAAAGATACTCAACATCACTCAACACCTGGGAAATGCAAATCAAAACCATGATGAAACATCCCCTCACACCAGTTAGAATGGCTTTTATCAAAAAGACTAATTCTGGTGATCATTTCACAATATATACAAATAACAAATCATTATGCTGTTCAACTGAATCTAATTTAATATTATATGCCAATTACACTTCAATTTTTTAAAGATTTTATTTATTTATTTGAGAGAGAGAGAGGAGGTTAGAGAGTGAGAGAGAGAAGCAGACTCCCTGCTGAGCAGAGAGTCCAATGTGGGGCTTGATCCCAAGACCAAGATCATGACCTGAGCCAAAGGCAGACGCTTAACCAACTAACCCGCCCAGGCATCCACATTTCAACTTTGTTTTTAAAGATTTATCTATTTTAGAGAGAGAGAAAGAGCATGTGTACATGAGTGGGAGGAGGGGCAGAGGGAGAGAATCTCAAACAGATTCCTCCACTGAGCTCCGAGCCCATGCGGGGCTCAATCCCACAACAAAATTAAATCATGACCTGAGCCAAAACCAAGAGTCAGACCCTTAACCCACTGCACCAGATTCCCCACATCCCAATTTTTAAGAAGATAGTTTTAAAATACTGCAAGAATCATGCTGTACAGAACCTTGATTGTCACATTTTCCTCATCGCCAAATGAGGACAACCAATTAGCTTTTGTTGACCCCTATTACAATAATCGCCGAATCACTGTTCCATGTACTATAGTGTAGGAAAATGTTTCATGTAGTTGATCATAGGATGGAGAGTAGGAAGAAATTAGGAATGTAAGTCTAACTCCAAAACTAGTTATTTTACTAAACTTAGTAAGCACTCCTTATGTTTAGCTAATAACGCCCAAGGTAGAGTTGATATCCTTTATGTGAATATGTTTTTCTGGGAAAAGTACAGTCACGATGTTTTCAGAAACCACTGATGAGATTCTACATTTTAGGCCAGAAGCTCCCCTAACCCTTGTAGGGCAATAATTTTTATGGAGTTCTTATGAGAACTGTTCTTATGAACAGTATGAGAAGACTGGTTATTGTCTGTGGTATGTATATAAACCATACCATGGTGATATGTGCACATTTCCCAGAAGTAAACATTATATAGATGATACAAATGGATCTATAATGGGGGTGCCTGGGTGGCTTAGTCAGTTAAGTGTCTGCCTTTGGCTCAGGTCATGATCCCAAGGTCCTGGGATTGAGCCCTGCGTCGGGTTCTCTGCTTGACAGGAAGTCTGTTTCTCCCTCTCCCTCTGCTGTTCCCCCTGCTTGTGATCTCTCTTTTTCAAATAAATAAATAAAATCTTTTAAAAATGTACCTATTGCAATTAGGGATTGTGTAAAGATTATTTACTATTTTATTGATATGGGACACCAGAGAAAAATTTACTCAGACAAGGGAATATTGTTGGCTTTGACCATGACCCAGATACTGAAAGAGCCAGACCGCATCCTTTCTTTCAAGCAGTTGGGGACACAGGCATCTGTGCCTCCCACTTAAAAGGGGGGGGCACAAACATGTACGTGTGCATATTATAGAAATGCTCCAGAACTTCTGGGTCTTGTGGCAAAAAAAAAAAAAAAAAAAGGAAAAAAGAAAAGAAAAAAAAAAAAGAGTTCACCAGCAGAGGACTAAAATTAGTGCAGTCATTTTGTGATGTTATTGTTTGTGGAGTCAAGAACAATGAGACGGTAGAAGATGCTTTCACTCGTCTCTGTCCTCTGGCTCCTTGCAACTGATGTCTAATTGCTGGATTTTGAAGGCCGAGCCAGGCTAGGTTTGTACTAGGCTTTTTTGACACCAGCCAGGTGAAGATCCATGGTGATCAGTGCCTTCCGATTAGCCAACTCCCTTTTTGGTCTCCAGCTTTATGCCGCTGGTTCTAAGACAGCATCGGAGTTTTCTATCAAACATGCAGCATGGGGGCGCCTGGGTGGCTCAGTGGGTTAAAGCCTCTGCCTTTGGCCCAGGTCATGATCCCAGGGTCCTGGGATTGAGACCCACATCGGGGTCTCTGCTCCACAAGGAGCCTGCTTCCTCCTCTCTCTCTCTCTCTCTCTCTCTCTCTCTCTCTCTGCCTGCCTCTCTGCCCACTTGTGATCTCTGTCTGTCAAATAAATAAAACCTTAAAAAAACAAACACACACACGTAGCATGGTACTAAGCAAGTCATCAAAACCAGAGTATTTATTATGTTAAGGGTATTGTGAAAAGCCCGTGCTGAACGCGGTGTCTGTGATCTTCTTTCCAGACAGATGTTTTCCACGATCTTGGCCGGGGGATTCTGGACAGCGCGTGGCAAGGCTATAATACCACCCTCCTAGCCTATGGCCAAACTGGCTCTGGGAAAAGCTACTCCATGGTTGGGTTTGGTGCAAACAAGGGTATCATTCCAAAGGTGTGCGAGGAGCTCTTTCAAGCAATTGAGAAGAGGGAGGGAAATGAAGAATACCAGGTATGCATGATCCGAAAATCCCTTCTTTGAGGAATTTCATTTTTCATTTTGGAAATTTCTGGCTCCAAACGATCAGCCTCTCTATTTCAGGATAATGTTAATTTTCCATACGCAAATCTTCCCAGGATTGCAAGATCAGGTTGCCGCTAGCTAGAATGTTGACCTTTTCCGGTTCTATGGAGGCAAACCCAAGGCAGTAATTTTGAAAAGCACGTTGAGTATCCTAGCAGCAGACGTCTTAGAAGCTAATACTCATGAGGGATTGTTGCTGAGGCTGATCCAACAAGACCCTCACTGACTTGCCTGTGGTTTCCTTTACTCCCCCTCTTCTACCAAGGCTGTGGGTGTGTGCTCATTTTCATTTCTTTTTCTTTTTTCTTTTCTTTTTTTTTTTAGTAGGCTCCACGCCCATGGAGCCTGATGCAGGGCTCAAACCTGAGATCAAGACCTGACCTGAGACCAAGAGTCAGATGCTTAACCAACTGAGCCACCCAAGCACCCCTGTGGCATCCTGTTTTTTTCATGGAGAGCATTCTTTCTCTCTCCGGAACTATGAATTACAGGACTTTAAAGAACATGGTCTTCTACTCCATGTATCTCCTGCTTTCCTGGAGTTCCTTTTTTCTACTGTTTGTTTGATCTCTCATATTGGAGGCTTTCTTTGTCTGCTAACATTGGTTTAAAGCATGCGACACCCAATCTCGTTGGAAGCTCTGGGGACATGAGAGGTGACAGAAGACCCGCCACCGGGAGACAAAAGCCACAAGCCTGCCAGAAGGCGGTGGCAAATATCAATATCTTAGGCCCTTTTCTCTAGTCTGGAGCCATTCCGACTCCTCCAGCCTCCCACTTAAGGGGAGTCGGCCAGTCCAGAAATATTCCAGAAGCACAGTAGGGTAAAGCAATAAAGAATGACCTTTTTCTGTTGCTAATATTGACCGAAACACACACACACACAGGGTTGTATATGCTTTTAACCTATATTAAGAACTTTTCCATAGCGTCAAAGTTACTGAGAATTGCTTATTGCATGTGAATCAGAACTTGCTATATTTGTAAATGATTTTATTTATTCACCCGAGAGAGAGAGAGAGCACAAGCAAAAGGAACAGCAGACAGAGGGAGAAGCAGACCCCTCACTGGGCAGGAAGCAGGATGCAGGTCTCAATCCCAGGACCCTGGGATCATGACCAGAGCCAAAGGCAGATGCTTAACCGACTGAGCCACCCGGGGCCCCAAGCATTACTATATTCAATATTAGCTTCTTCCTTTGTTGGAAATTTATGTTGTTCCTATGTGACTTCTTCCCCAAAGATGAGGTTCCAGAGAAGATTAACTCTATGTTCTTTTCTATACAGGTTACGTTCAGTATGTTGGAAATTTACAACGAGCAGGTAACAGTGATTCTGTTCTCTGGCACACACACCTGTGGGACTCTGCAGCATAATACCTACCAGAGCCTCCCCTCCCCCACCCTAAGATAAAGTCACAACCCTGTAGCGCGGCATGGACGACAGCCCTCACCTCCCTCTTCCGCTCTCCCTCTTGCCCCTTCATCTCCACTCACTATGCTCTTCCACCACATAAATGTCTTCCTCTCCGGAACATGTCATCCTTTCCAACATCTACCCTTCTCTGACCCTGGAATTCTTCCCCTACCCCTACCAGTTGACCTCAGTAGGCATGGGGGGCAGAGGAGATGGCAAACTTTGTTTCCAAAGGACCAGATGGTGTCTGCTGACAAGATTCACCTCTGTTCCCTAAGCAAATGGAGGATGGCGGGGTCCCAGTGGGGGGCCGTTCTTGGACGCTGAAACTGGAATGACACATAATATTTGATGTGGAGCCGAGAGCCAATGATCAAGAAAGAATTCTTGAGCTTCTTTTGGTGCAAAGAGGTGCTTTGATAGAGCAGGGGGACAGGACTCGAGGGTGGGAAGAGCTGCCCCAGGGCTATGAGGAGTGACTGACTGATCATGGACTTCTCTTGGTGGGGGTTAAGGACAGCATAAACCTCTAAGGAATTTGTGCGTGTTAGAAGCAAGGCCTCCAGGACCTTGGAGGGCTAGTTAGTGTTAAGATAAGGTTGCTTTTAGTTTTTAAAGAAACATCAACATTAAGGCGGCCGGTAGGCCAGTCGTGAGTTCCTTGAGGAATGCCACACTCAGCAACTTGGGCTCCAGGTTGTAAGAAAATTTAATTTCCGCTGCATTTCTCTTGCCTTTGTTCTTCTCATCAATTTGCACATGTCACACAATATTTTTCTTTTGATTTTTCTCAGTCACTTAAAAATGTGGAAAATGTTATGTCAAGGATCCTACAAAAAACAGGTGGCCAGCTGAACGTAGTCCCCAGGCCATGCTTTGCCTGTCCCTGGGGTGGCTGGAAAGGGCATGACCTCAGACCCCACCTCTCTCCTTGACTGGCCATGTGACTTTGGAAAATCACTTTATCTCAGTTGTCTCATTTATAGAGAATGTAAAAGAAGACATTACACATCGAGGTGACCGGTTTTCAATTTCTAACACAGAGCTTAGAAAATACCAGATATTCGCTGTCCTTACCCCTTGATCATATGATACTGTGAAATTTTATTTACCTATTTGGGTCTCCGGATCAGATCGTGTCCTTGTGAAGACCTTTCTATAGGAAATACCCTCTCAATACTCAATATGCTTGTAGGGTTAGAATGGGCGCTCCGAATCTTTACTGAGTGGACGGATTGACAAAGGCATCTAAAACTGTACCCTTCTCATAGAAGACCGTATCCTAATTGTTTTTGTGTAACCCCAAGCACCATGCAAAGCCTTGCACGTAATCATTCCCAAGTAAATATTGTGAAAGGAATAAATCTGTCAGTGTTTTTCTCTTTATATTAAGGAAACAAAGTACCCATTTTGTTTCTTACATTCTTTCATGAGTCAGTTATTACCATTGAAGGCTGATAGTAAATGCAAATGAGTTCTTTTTTAAAAAGTTTTTAAATTCCAGGGACGCCTGGGTGGCTCAGTTGGTTAAGCAGCTGCCTTCGGCTCAGGTCATGATCCCAGCGTCCTGGGATCGAGTCCCGCATCGGGCTCCTTGCTCAGCGGGGAGCCTGCTTCTCCCTCTGACTCCGCCTGCCACTCTATCTGCCTGTGCTCGCTCTCACTCTCGCGCTCTCGCTCTCTGACAAATAAATAAATAAATAAAATCTTTAAAAAAAAAAAAAGTTTTTAAATTCCAATTAGTTAACATGCAGAGTCATATTAGTTTCGGGTGTACAATATAGCAATTCAGCACTTCCCTACATCACCCGGGGCTCATCATGACAGGTGCACTCCTCAATCCCCATCTCCTGATTCACCCACCTCCCACCCCCACCCACCTCCCCTCTGGTAACCAACAGTTTGTTCTCTAGAGTTAAGAGTTTGTTTCTTGGCTTCTCTCTTTTTGTTTTCCCTTTGCTCGTCTGTTTTGCTTCTTAAATTCCACAAGAGTGAAATCATATGATTTTTGTCCTTCTCTGAAGGGCTATTTCACTTAGCATAATAGTCTCTACCTCCATCCATGTCATTGCAAATAGCGAGATTTCATTCTTTTTTATGGCTGAGTAATGTTCCTGTGTGTGTGTGTCTGTAACCCATTCATCAGTCAATGGACACTTGGGGTTCCCCTAATTTGGCTATTGTAGATAATGCTGCTATAAACCCTCAGGTGCGTGCTTCCTTTTTATTAGTGTTTTTGTTTTCTTTGGGTAAATACCCAGTAGTGCAATTGTTGGATCATAGGGTAGTTCTATTTTTAACTTTTGAGGAACCTCCATACAGCCTTCCACAGTGGCTTACCCAACAGGGTAAGAGGGTTCCCCTTCTCCACATCCTTGCCAATATCTATTGTTTCTTATGTTGTTGATTTTAGCCATTCTGACAGGTGTGTGGTGGTATCTCATTGTGGTTTTGGCATTTCCTTGATGATGAGTGATGTTGAGCATCTTTTCATGTGTCTGTTGGCCATCTGAATATCTTCTTTGGAGAAATGGCTGTTCATATCTTCTGAACTTTTAAAAATTGGATTATTCATTTTTGAGTGTTGAGTTTTATAAGTTCTTTATATATTTTGGATACTAACCCTTTTAAATGTCTTCTCCCATTCACTAGGTTGCCTTTAAATTTTATTGATTGTTTCCTTTGCTGTGCAGAACTTTTTATTCTGATGAAGTCCCAATAACTTTTTTTTTTTTGCTTTTGTTTCCTTTGCCTCAGGTGACATATCTAGAAAGAAGTTGCTGGGGCCTATGTCAAAGAGGTTACTGCCTGCGTTTTTCTCTAAGATTCTTACGGTTTCCTGTCTCACATTTATGTCTTTAATCCATTTTGAATTTATTTTTGTGTATCATGTAAGAAAGTGGTCCAGTTTCATTCTTCTGCATATTTTTGTCCAATTTTCCCAAAATTATTTGTTGAAGAGACTGTCTTTTTCCCACTGGATATTCTTTCCTGCTTTGTTGAAGATAAATTAACCATATAGTCGCTGGTTCCCAATTGGTTTTTCTGTTAAGGTCACTGATTAAGTTTCTATTTCTTTCAAGTTGCTAAGGCTTGGAAGACAGTGTGGCTCCTTTATCTCATACCAATAATTTTGGGAGGACAATTTCCTTTGTTACCCAGTTCTGGTAGTCATCTCACTGTGGTCTCCCTACTGATAACTGTTTATGATGATAATCTGTCTGGAATTCTGTTTCCTCATCTCTAAAATAAGAACACTGGACATCCTAAGAATCTTTCCATTCCTCATATTCCTTGACTCGCTGGTATTTTCCCATTAGGTACTTCAACAGTCAATTAAAATGAAGTTTATTATGTACTTCTAATGTTTCGGACATCATCCTAGACTCTGAGGATGAGTTAATCCTTGGACTTAATTCCCACCATAGAAGAGTCTGGTGGGAGTTATAACACTTTACAGACAGTGATGCATTACATGTGTTCCGTGAATGGCGAGGAGCAAGGGGCAGAGAGGAGGGAGTGCATGACTACGTGGGATGTTTGACAGCAAGGGTCAATGGTCAATGGTCAATGCTGGGCTTGGACTGAACTTTGAGAAATGCGTAGGGAGGTTGGGGGCACAGACAGGGGCACTTTAGGCAGGATTAGTTGTAACTAGTCAAAAAATACATGAAAGTTCATTGCGATTAAAGGAACCATCAGTACCCTGATGGTTAAAGGAACAGTCAGTACCCGCATAGCCAGATTTGGATATATGGTGGGGTCATCAGGAGATGAAGCTGAAGATAGGCTCTGCCAAAAGTAAAGGGCCTTTGTCCCGGCAATAGTGGAGAATCTTTGGAGGATTTTACAGGGAAATCAGATAATCAGATTGGGTTCTGGAAGAGTTCTCTAGAAGCAGATTGGAGTTGGATTTGAAGGTGTACCAAATAGAGGCAGAGTTTGAGGATTCCCAGGAAAGCCCAGGTGAGTAAGGAAGGTCTTGTGATAATCACCAATTTTGATCTCCAGGCACACATGGAAGGTCCCGGCACCAAGATCCACCCCCGTCTCTGGGTGCTCATACTTCTACTCCATCCAGATAAATCTACTTCTTTTTTTTCTAATAAGACTTACTCAGTCCTATCTTAGATGTTCCTTCCAACAAGTTGTATGTTAGAGGAAAATTTTCCTAGCTACACCAGAAGTGACCTCCATTTGGATGTCTCCTTATCCCTGGCACCTTATGTCCACTGTCTTAGTTTGGCTTGCCTGAACTTCAATCTGTGATCTTTCCCTGGCTCTAGGATAAAAAGCCATAGAATATCGGAGTTGGGGAAGATCTCAGAGATAACTTAATTCACCCCCTCCTATTATGAACACTCAGAAAGTAAGAGATTTTCCAAAGTTTTATCAGGTTAGAGGCAGAGCCAGGACTGAGAACCAGGTCTTAGGGATACCAGTCCAGACATCTCTGTACCATGTAACACCACCCCTCTGGGGCCTTTGGCTGTACCACAATCCCACAGTAGAACCTACTTAGCCTTGTTAAAAGTGGCTTTTCTTGAGTGAGAGACAACATGGGCTTTCACCCAAAGCCATGGTCTAGGTGTGACATCTCACCAGTCTCCAATAAGAAGATCTAAAGAATCATCCATATTCTCCTAACATTATTTGTTAGCCTAGCTCTGGCTACCCTGCTCTGTCAAAATTCATTCACTGAGTGCTTCTTCTACATTGGGGACCAGGTCAGGATCTACAAGTAAAAGGCCCTGGTCCCACCCAAAGGGAGTTCACAGGCTTGTTGAAGTGCTTTAGGTACTAGAAAATACTAGAACTGAGTTTTTTTTTTTAATTCTGCTTATTACAAAAGGTTTTCCTTTATTACAACAGGTTTCCCTCCTGTTGCCCATTCCCCTATTTCTGACTTACCTAAATTATGAGCTTGTGTGGTGCCTACAGAAATTTAACATTTTTTCATTCATGTAGTAAGTTTTTGTTGAGCACTAAATATATTCTAGGCAGAGGTGTAACCATGAAGTAAATAGAAATCCCTGTCTTCCTGAAGTTTACTTTATTTATTCTCTTTTTCCACAGATAAGAGACTTGCTGTCTAGAACCAAGAAACCTGGGGGACTAAAAGTGAGGGAAGATCAACAGCTGGGCTTTTATGTGGATGGCCTGAAGTCAGTGCCCTGTGAGAACTATGCACAGATTGAAAGACTGATGGAACAAGGGACAAAAGTAAGGACCACAGCATCAACCAACATGAACGCCAGCAGCAGCCAGTCTCATATGGTTATCACCATTCAGTTCAAGCAGGTGAGACTCATGGGAAGACTGCTGTCCCAGTTTCCCACCAAGCATGGTCCATGGGAAGGGTTCCCAGTGGCATGAAGAGTTGGTGAGTATTATGGAATCCTTTCAGATTTGACCTATGGATTAAGGTGGCCACTTCCAACCATAGGGTCAGAAATAGAAGTGAGGGACTTTCTCTTTTCCTACCTGCCCATATCCCCATTCCACACAGGTTCCCCAGGATGATGAAGACCAGCTTTCAGATCCATGAGCCTAGAGAACCATCAGATGCTGACCAACCCTTCTGATACTTGGAAGTAGCAAAATAAGGTCTTTGAAACTAGCTAATCATGTAACTCTGCACTAAGTAGAATTTTTTACAAAACTGAGCATATGTTTTTTCCTCCTTACTTCTTGGTAGATATCAGAGAATAATCTCTACATCATCACCAGTTTGATTCAGAAATACTTATTTTCAAAGCCTGGGTAAACATTACAGTTAGCTATGATTTCACCACCTCTGTTTCCTAAGCCACAGTCCTAATACATAGATAGAATGGTGATAAATGAAGATTACCCTGTTCTAACCAGGAATAGTGGGAAAATACTGGACTGTATCTCTTTGTTTACCAGCTTTGAAACTTCAGGAAATCACTTACTCATTTTTAGTCTCAGTTTACTATTCTGTAGAATGAGACAAATAGCTATCCTATGGGAGTGTTGGGAAGCCTAGAGAAGTACCTGCATTTTAAAGAACTTTGAAGGATAACTGGGAGGATGGTAGAGAGGGCTCTGAGCTCACCTCCTCCCACTGACACACAGAGACAACAACTATGCATAATCCAACTAACTCTGGAAACGACCTGAAGACTGGCAGAACAGCTCTTTCACAGCTAAAGACATAATGAGAAGCCCACATTGAGAAGGGTAGGAGGGGCAGAGATCTAGTTGGAAACTAATCCCCAGGCACAGCGACCCTCAAAGAAGAAGGATATCTTGGGCACTAGGTATTTCTTGAGGAGCCAGGGTATCAAGCTTTACATGAGGCAACCCCAGCCCTGGAGACCTGCACCAGAAAGACAAGCCTGATAACATCAGTCTTTGAAAAATAATGGACTCAACTCTAGGAGAGGTGGAGGGCTATAAGAAACTGAGAGTCCATTCCCAAAGGGCCAGTGCACTATATCATGCACTGTGAGACCCAGCACAGAAGCAGTAGTCTAGGAAGTGCCTGGGTTATACATGAAGATTTAGTGACTAATTTTGGGGCATGTGCCAGAAGATCAAGGATGGTAGGAGCTTTCTCAAGGAACAAGAGTACTGGAAGGTACAATTTTTCTTGACCTCCTTCTGCCTAGCTGGTCCATCCTTGAGGGAGCCAATTCTGATACTCTCCCCCCACCTTCTTCATACTGTTTGCCCCCCTTCCCAGTGTTCCCCTGTGGACACACCCCACCCACCCATGCCTGGAAGGACCCCTCCAAAGATACTCCTTCCTCAAGGAGGAGGGGAGCCAGACTTGGCCACAGCACACCTGTAGCAGCCACAGCCTGGCCTCTCAGCAAGCTGTCCTGGGGGTCAGCTTTGCCCATCAGCACACCCACAGTAGGTGCAGCCAGTCACACAGGGGGTACACACAGCCCACACAACAGACATCCCTAAAGCACCTGATTCTGCTGATTGGCAGGGGGTGCAGGGGGTATTGGATTGTGCTGCTGGGTCCCCACAAGATGCATTCTACACAAGGCACTACTGTCAGGACCAGGAGACATAGTTAACCTACCTAATACACAGAAACAAATGAAGGGTCAGACAGAATCATGAGACAGAAAAATATGTTCCAAACAAAAGAATGGGACAAAACACCAGTAAAAGAATGAAACAAAATAGAAATAAGCAATCTGCCTGATAAAGAGTTCAAAGTGAGACAAGTGCTCTGTAGACTGGAGATGAGAGTGGATGAGCTCAGTGAGAACTTCAACAAAGAAATATAAAAAGAACCAATCATAGCTGAGTAATACAATAACAGAAATGGAAAAGACACTAGGAGGAATCAACAGCAGAGTGGAGGATGGAGAACAAGAGATCAGCGATCTGGAAGACAGGGTAGTGGAAAGCACCCTGCTGAACAGCAAGTATTAAAAAAATAAGTTTTTAAAATGAGCATCAGTTGTGAGACCTCTGGGACAACATCCCACAGGTCATACTAACATTTGCATTATCAGGGTCTCAGAAAGAGAAGAGAGAGAGAAAGAGGAAAAAAATGTATTTGAAGAAATAATACCTGCAAACATCCCCAAGCTTGGGGAAAAAAACAAACATCCAGGTCCAGGAAACAGAGAGATCCCCAAACAAGGTGAACCCAAGGGGCTCCATACTAAGACACATAATAATTAGAATGTCAAAAATTAATAACAAATGGAGAATCTAAAGGACAGCAATATTAGAAAAGCAAATTGCTATATACAAGGGAAACCCCATAAGACTATCAGCTGATTTTTCAGCAGAAACTTGGCAGGCCAGAAAGGAATGCCATGAGTAATTCAAAGTGCAGAAAGGGAAAAAACTACAACCAATCTCTACCCATCTAGGTTATGATTCCAAATTGAAGGAGAGATAGTGTTTCCAGGACAGGGGCATGCGGTTAAGCATCTGCATTCAGCTTGGGTTGTGATCTCAGGGTCCCGGGATCGAGCCCCATGTCAGACTCCCTGCTCAGCAGGTAGTCTGCTTCTCCCCTCCTTCTGCAGCTACCCCCTGCTCATGCTTGTTCTCTCTCAAACAAACAAGTTTCCAGGACAAACAAAATTAAAGGAAATCATTACTATTGCACTGGCCTTCCAAGAAATGTCAAAGCTACTTCTTTAAGTGGAAAAGAAAAGGCTCTAACAAGAAGAAAACTGTGCAAGGGAAAAAATGTCACTGGCAAAAGCAAACATATAATAAAAGTGATAAGTCCATCATCTCTAAAGCTAGTATGAAGGTTACAAGGCAAAGGTAGTAACATTAATTATATAATGCGAAAATCAGTTAAGGGATACATAACATTAAAAAATTTAAAATGTGTCACTATATACATAAGTCATGCAGGGGGAGGAAAAATGTAGTTTTTCAAATGTCTTTGAACTTCAGCATTCATCAACTTAATACAGACTGTTATTTACATTGAAAATTACATGTATACCTCATGGTGACCAAAAGTTATAAGATACACAAAAAAGTAAAGAGAAAGGAATCCAAGCATAACACTAAAGAAAATTACCAAATCACAAAGGAAGAGAACAAGAGAAGAACAAAACAGAGAGAAAGCAGTTAACAAAATAGCAAGAGATACATACCCATCAATAATTACCTTAAATGTAAATGGACTATATGGTCCAATCAAAAGTCACGGGGTGACAGAATGGATTAAAAAAACAACAACAAGACCCAGGTATATGCTGCCTACAGGGATTCACTTCAGACGTAAAAATGCAGACAGACTGAAAGGGAAAAGATGGAAAAAAATATTCTATGCAAATGGAAGCAAAAAAAAAATGTGAGGGTAGACAAACTGATTTTAAAACAAAGACTGTGGGACATCAGGGTGGCTCAGTCAGTTAAGGATCTGCCTTTGGCTCAGGTCATGATCTCAGGGTTCTGGGATCCAGCCCTGCGCCCAGCTTCCTGCTTGGTGGGAAGTCTGGGGCTCTCTGTCCCCCACACCCACCCATGTGCTCCTTCTCTCTGTTTCTCAAATAAATAAATAAAATTTAAAAAAAAAAAAGACTGTAACAAGAGACAAAGAAGGGCATTACATAATGATAAAGCAAACAATGCAACAAGAGGATAGAACAACTGTAAATCCCTCTGCACCCAGTATAGGAGGACCTGACTATATAAAGCCAATATTAAGAGACATAAAGGGAGAAATTGACAGTAATACAATAACAGACTTAACACCCCACTCATGTCAGTGGACAAATCACTCAGACAGAAAACCAACAAGGAAACAGTGACTTTGAATGACAGGTGTGACCAGAGGGACTTAACAGGTACATTCGGAACATTTCATCCTCAAGCAGCAGAAAACACATTCTTCTCGAGTGTACACAGAACATTCTCCAAAATAAATTTCATGCTAGGCCACAAAAGAAACCTCAGTAAACATTAAGAGTTTTAAGTCATATCAAGCATCTTTTCTGACCACAATGGCATGAAACTAGAAATCAAAAGCATAAAACTGGGAAGAAACACAAACAAGTGTACCCTAAACAATAAGCTATTAACCAACCAATGAGTCAACAAAGACGTCAGAAAGGAAATAAAATAATACATGAAGACTGGGGCACCTGGGTGGCTCAGTCAGTTAAGCATCTGACTCTTGGTTTCAGCTCAGGTCATGATCTCAGGGTCATGAGATCAAGCCCTGCATCAGGCTCTGTGCTCAGAGTGGAGTCTGCTTGTCCCTCTCCTTCTGCTCCTCCCCTGCTCATGTTCCCTCTCTCTCCCTCTCTCATAAATAAATAAAATCTTTTTTAAAAAAATCTTTGGGGGTACACCTGGGTGGCTCAGTCGATTAAGCATCTGCTTTTGATTCAGGTCATGACCTCAGGGTCCTGGGACTGAGACTGGCATCAGGCTCCCTGCTCAGCAGGAAGCCTGCTTCTCTCATTCTCACACCCCCAATTTCTCTGTAAATAAATAAGTAAAATCTGAAGAAAAAAAAAATCTTTGGAATGGACCAAAAGCACTTCTAAGAGGGAAGTTTATAGTGACACAAGCCTACATCAAGAAACGAGAAAAATATTCAATAAACAATCTAACCTTATACCTAAAGGAACTTAAAAAAGAACAAAAGCCAGACTTAGTAGAAGGAAAGAAATAATAAATACCAAAGCCAAAATAAATAGAGGCTAAAAAAAAAATATCTATGAAATTAAGAGCTGATTCTTTGAAAAGATAAAAAAATTGATAGACTTTTAGCCAGACTCATCAAGAAAAAAAGAAGACCCATATACATAAAATCAGAAATGAAAGAGAAGTTCAACAGACATCACAGAAACACAAAAGATCAGGGCACCTGAAAGGCTCAGTGGGTTAAGCATCTGCCTTCGGCTCAGGTCATGATCTCAGGGTCCTGAGATTGAGTCCTGTATGGGGCTCACTGCTCAGCGGGGAGTCTGCTTCTCTCTCTACCCTTCTCTCTGCTTGTGCTCGCTTTCTCACTCTCTCTCTCTCTCAAATGAGTAAATACATCTTAAAAAAAAAGAAATATAAAGGATTATAAGCGACTACTACAAAAGATTATACACCAACAAACTGGACAACCTAGGAGAAATGGATAAATTCTTAGAAACATACAATCTATCATACAAACATGCAAACATTCCAATCTTCCAAGCAAAACAGGAAGAATTAGAAAATCTGAACAGACCAATTACTAGTAACAAAAGTGAATTGGTAATAAAAAAATTCCCAACAAACAAAAGTACAGGAGCAGATGGCTTCATAGGTGAGTTCTACCAAACATTTATTTTTTTTAAAAGATTTATTTATTTTAAAGAGAGAGTGTGTGTGCATGTAAGAGCAAGCATGATTTGGGGGAAGGGCAGAGGGAGAGGGAGAGATTCTCCAGCAGACTCTCCTCTGAGCATGGTGCCCAGCTCAGGACTTGATCTCACAACCCTGAATCTTGACTTGAGCCAAAATCAAGAGTCAGACACTGAACTGACTAAGCCACCCTGGTGTCCCTCTACCAAACATTTAAAGAAGTGTTTAATATCCTTTTCAAACTATCCCCAAAAATAGGAGAGGAAAGAAAGCTTCCAAATTCACACTATGAGGCCAGCATTACCCTGATGCAAAATAAAACAAAAAACATTACAGATCAATATTCCTAATGAACACAGATGCAAAAATCTTCAACAAACAAATTCAGTCATACATTAAAAGTATCATTCCCCCACAAATCCAGTGGGATTTATTGCCAGGATGCAAGGATGTTTCCATATTTGCAAATCAATCGATGAGAAGCACCACATTAACAAAATGAAGGATAAAAATTATATGATTATCTTAATAGACACAGAAAAAAGCCTTTGACAAAACATGTATTCATGATGAAAAAACTCTCAATAAAGTGGGTTGAAAGGGAACATTTCAACGTACATAATAAAGTCGATATGTACCAAACCCACAACCAGCATCATACTCAATGGTGAAAAACTAAAGGCTTTTCCTCTAAGATCAGGAACAAGGCAAGGATATCCATTCTTGTCACTTTTATTCAACAAGTACTGGAAGTCCTAGCCAAAGCAATCAGATGATCAGACATGAAAAGGAATAAAAGGCATCCAATTAAGTAAGGAAGAAATAAAATTTTCATTATTTGCAGGTAAAATGATATTACACATAGAATACTCTAAAGATTACCAAAACACTATTAGAATAAGTGAAATAAATAAAGCCTCAGGATACAAAATTAATACACAAAAAATCTATAGATTCTTTTTTCTATACATTAATAATGAACTAGCAGAAGGAAAAATTAAGAGAAAAATGCCACTTACAATTCTATCAGAAAGAATAAAATACGCAGGAGTAAATTAAACTAAGGAGATAAAGGTAAAAGAAATGTCCTCTGAAAACTCTAAGACATTGATAAAAGAAATTGAAGAAGATGCAGATAAATGGAAAGACATTCCATGCTCCTGGGTTAGAAGAACAAATATTGTTAAAACATCTATACTAAAATCCAAAGTGAACTACAGATTCAACACAATCCCCATCAAAATACCAATACTATTTTTTTTATAGAGCGAATAATCCTAAAATTTGTATGGAACCACAAAAGACTCCAAATAGCCAAAGCAATCTTAAGAGGAATAGAGCTGGAGTAACTGCAATCCTACATTCTAACCTACACTACAAAGCTATAGTAATCAGGACAGTATGGTACTGGCACAAAAACAGACACATAGATCAATGGAACAGAATAGAGAGCCCAGAAATAAACCCACACATTTATGGTCAATTAATCTATAACAAAGGAGGCAAGAATATATGATGGGAAAAAAGACAATCTCTTCAATAAAAAGTGGTGGGAAAACTAGCCAGTTATGTGCAAAATAATGAAAGTGGACCACTTTCTAACACCGTACATGACAATAAATTAAAAATGGATTAAGGACCTAAAAGTGATTGCTGAATCTATATAAAGAAAAAATAAAGCATAGACAGTAAATGCTCAGATGACAGTCTTAGTGATATTTTTCTGGATATATCTCCTCAGACAAGGGAAACAAAAGCAAAAATAAACAGTTGGGACTACATCAAAATAAAAAAGGTTTTGCACAGCAAAGGATCCCATCAACAAAATGGAAAGCAGCGTACAGAATGGGAGAAGATATTTGTGAACTACATAACCAATAAGGGGTTAGTATCCAAAAACACGTAATTTATACATATCAACATCAAAGTCAAAACAAAAAACAGTCCAGTTTAAAAACTGGACAGAGGATCTGAATAGACATTGTTCCAAAAAGACTGATACAGATTCATGAAAAGATGCTCAACATCACTCATCACCACAGAAATGCAAATCAAAACCACAATACGAAATATCAACTTCCACCGGTCAGAATGGCTAAAATCAAGAAATCACAAGTGTTGGCAAGGATGTGGACAAAGGGGAATGTCCGTGCCCTGCTGGTGGGAATGCCAACTAGAGTGGCCATTGTGGAAAACCGTGTGGAGTTCCTCCAAAAAATTAAAAATAGAAATACCATGTCGATCCAGTAATTCCACTGTTGAATACTTGCCCAAAGAAAATGACAAAACTATTTGAAAAAGATACATGTATCTCTGTATTTATTGCAGCACCACTTACCAGAACCAAGACACAGAAACAACCTGAGTGTTCATTGATACCATATGGTATATATACTCAATAGAATATTACCTCCCTTTAAAAAAGAATGAAATCGTGCCTTTCAGGACAACATGCATGGACCTAGAGGGTATTAGGCTAAGTGAAATAAGTCAGACACAGAAAAAAAATACCATGTGACTTCACTTGTATATGGAGTCTTAAAACACAAGACAAATGAGCAAAGAGACACAAATAGAAACATAAATATAGAGAGCTGGTGGTTGCCAGTGGGGAGGGTTTGGAGGGATGGATGAAAGAGGTGAAGGGGATTAAGAGGTACAAACTTCCAGGTGTAAAAGAAGTAAGTCGCAAGGATGAAAAGTACAGCATAGAGAATGTAGTTAGTAATATTGTAATGACATTGTACAGAGATAGACGATAACTCCACTCATCACGGTAAGCATTTTGTAACATATATAATTGTCAAATCACTATGTTGTACACTGGAAACTAATGTCATGTTCCATGTCACCTGTGCTTTGATTGAAAGTAAAAAAAGAATGGTGGCCCCCAGGTGGCTTAGCTGGTGAAGCATCTGACTCCTGGTTTCGGCTCAGGTCGTGATCTCAAGGTTGTGAGATCGAGCCCCGTGTGGGGCACCACACTCAGCAGGGAGTCTGCTTAAGATTATCTCTCTCTCTCTGCCCCTCCCACCTCTCTCATGGGTGCACACTTTCTCAGATAAATACATCCTTTTTTTTAAGTAAAAAAATAAAGATCGTCATAAACTTTAAGTACTATTCAGATGATTTTATGTTAGTAACATTCATAGAGTTTACATATGGTTTGCCCCTTTTTAACTTGATGTTTTAGAGGCAAAGGAAGAAATCCACTGAAAAAAATGTATGTAGCAATCTAGCATTACGCTCGCTATTGGTGTAATGATATTAACATCTGTTACTGTATGCGGGGCATGGCTAGAACCATTACTTCTCTTATCTGTTACCCTCCTAACACCCAAATAATATGCTATGATCCCTGTTTTCCAATTAAGACAGTTGCAATTCTGAAAAGCTAGTTCTCACAGTCATGTAACCAACAAGGGATCTGTCACATTCTAAAATCCACGTTCTTTTTCCCTCCCTGCATGACCACACTGTCCCGAACAGTTCCTTATTTTGCAGATTTCCCAGTATTCAAATGTTTGATCACAGAAATACTAGAGCAGTAATTGGGATCTAATACACCACTGGAAATAGCTTTGCAAAATTGAGAAGGAGAAACTGAGACATTTGAGCCTGATGATGTATTAATGTGAAATGTCACTGTAAAGAAGACAGCCTTTTTTTTTTTTTTTTTGAGAGAGAGAGAGAAGAGTGAGCAGGAGGTGGAGGGGCGGAGGTAGAGAGAGGGAATCTTAAGCAGGCTCCTTGACCAGCAGGTAGTCTGACATGGAGCTTGCTCCCACAACCTTGAGATCATGACCTGAGCTGAAACCAAGAGTCAGGTGCTTAACTGACTGAGCCACCCAGGTGCCCAAAGTAGCCTTTTAATTTGTAAATTTTATTACATATTTTTGAGTGTGAAGTACAATTAGGAAAAAATTTTAATTCCAAGAACTTTTTTTATTATGGTATGTTAGTCACCATATAGGACACCATTAGTTTTTGATGTCATGTGCCATGATTCATTGTTTGTGTATAACACCCAGTGCTCCATGCAATCCGTGCCCCCCCTTAATACCCATCACCAGGCTCACCCGTCTCCCCACACCCCCTTCTAAATCCCTCAGTTTGTTTTAAAGTGTGAACTAGGTGGACTTCATATGTAGCCTGCTACCACTCTAATAGCACGACTTGTGGTGCTTTCCTACAGGTTTTCCTAGACAGACACCTCACCAAGCAGTCCAGTATTAATTTGGTGGATTTAGCAGGAAGTGAAAGGCAGAAATCTTCAGGATCTGAAGGAGACAGACTGAGGGAAGGATCACGAGTTAACTTAAGTTTAACCAATTTAGGAAATGTTATCAGGTAAATAATTGATGCATGGGTATTTATTTCTGCTGTAAAAATGACCTCATAAATTAAAAAAAATCAGATTAATCATAGACCTCCATTCATGACCCACTGTCATCATTGGCTCATACCTGGTCCTCCTATATATTTTATTTTAAACATATTGTTCTTGTTGTTGTTGTTGTTTAAAGATTTTATTTATTTGACAGAGAGAAACACAGTGAGAGAGTGAACACAAGCAGGGGGAGCAGGAGAGGGAGAAGCAGGCTTCCTTCCCAGCAGAGAGCCTGATGTGCGACTCAATCCCAGGACCCTGGGATCATGACCTGAGCTTAAAGCAGACGCTTAACAACTGAGCCACCCCAGTGCCCCAACGTATTGCTTTTTAATAAAACTAAGAACACCAGTAAAGTCACCACCCAACCCAAGAAAGAGTTGTTATTTCTCTGCTATGCTCTCCTTAGAGGTAGCCACCATCTTGAATTTTGTTTATCCTCTCTCTGTCACTCACTCCCTTTCTTCTTTCACCCTTTCTTGTTTTATCACTTGTGACTATTAAGTTTGTGACACTCATTTCTGAAATATACAAAAAAGGTAAAATATTATAGGTTTTTAGATCTTGTTCTTTTTTAAATGATCAAAGTATGAATTATGTGAAATACACAAATCTTAAATGTTTTGGTGAATTTTTATATGTATATATCTACATGATTACCACCAAGCTCAAGATATAGGACATTCCCAAAGCCCAGAAAGTTCCCTCGTATCCTCCTCCTAGCTTTTACTCCCACCAAAAGAAACTCACCTTTGCTACTAAAAATTGGTTTTGCCTAAAACTATCTTGATTTTCTTCTAAATGTGACCATTTATAAGAGGTCACCCACTTTTGCATCTGGCTTATTTCACTAAGGACTGCGTCTGTGAGACTAAGCCATGTTTCTCGTGTAATGTATTCACTCTTTTTCATTGCTATGTAGGATTCCATAGCAGAAAATATACCACAATTCGTTTATCCCTTCTTTCATTGATGGATATTTTGTATCCAGGTTTTAACTATTATGAATAATGTTGCTGTGAATATTCTTGTACATATCCTTTGGGGAAAACAATTTCTTATTCTCCTCAAGGATACATCCGGGAGTAGAATTGCTGGGATTGGCTTTTTCATCCAACATTATTAACAATAAATGTCCATGTTATGTGTGGCTTTGGTTAATTTGCCTTCTGTTCTGTCACTAAACATTGTGTCTAGGAGACTCCCTAGGGTAGTAGAAGTTGTTACTTCTTTTTCATTATGATATAGTATTCTATTGTGGGTATATGCCATGATTTATTCATTTGTTCTCCTGTTGGATTGGCATTTTGGTTGTTTCCAGGTTTTGGTTATTTGCTATTATAAACAGTGCGATTATGAACATTCTTGTACAAATCACTGGGTATCAATATATTAAAGTTTCTCTTGAGTACAGACAAAGGACTGAAATTGTTGCATTATTTGTAAGGTGTGTGCAATAACTTTTTTTTTTTGGGCAGTACCTAACTTTTGACAGTGGGGACAGATTATTTTCCAAATGTTTGGGGCAATTTATACTCCCAGCAGCAATGTATAAAATATCCCACTGAGCCACATCTTTTCTAAGACTTAGTATTGTCACATTTCTTGATATTTTCTGATTAAATGGTCTACCCGTGGTCTGGATATTCCTGGTTATTAGCAAGTTTGAGCAGCATTTGGTATGTTTACTGGCAATATGTCTTCTCTCAAAATACCTTATGTTTGTCAGTTACTGTCTTTTTATTGATTTTTAGGCATTCTTTACGTATTTCATATTACTCTTTCCTCAGGTATATCATAAATCTTTTCCCAGCAGGTAGCTTGTCTTTTCACTTTAAGGTATCTGTTGATGAGCAGAAATCATGGTAATGGTTTTTGTTCTGCATTTCTTGTGCCTTGTTAAAGAAAAGTAGAGTCCAAAAGGTATCCCCCTACGTTTTGCTTAATTTCCTATCCATCTGGAGTTGATGACTGTGCATAGTTTAAGACAAGCATCCTTTTCGTTATTTTTTCCTTACTGCTTACCAATTTTTCCAGTTACACTTGTTGAACAGTTCCTCCTTTCCTTGGTGGATTTCCTGTGCTACCTCTGTCATAGACCAAAATTCTATATATTTTAACTTTTTAATATGTTCAACTGGTCAAAGTCTAAATATTAATAAATGCTTCATCCTCTTCCTGGATAATACAAGGATCTCCAGCCTACATTTGTGATCGTTGTTATGTATGTTAATTCTATTCTTTAACCCCAAAGACATTACTATTTCTATTTTACAGTGTTCACTCTTTAAATTACTCATGCCTTCTTAAACCTCAGAGCTGCTAAGATCAGTTTCCTCCCGGTGGAAGAATATTCTATAGAATTTCCTTCAGTGATCACCTACTGATGGCAAATTCTGGTTTTGTTGAAATGTGTTTATTTCACCTCATTCTTGAAAGGTAATTTTGCTGGGTATATAATTCCCGATGTGCAGTATTTTCTTTCAGCTCATTAAGGTTACAGTTTCCCGTTTTCTGCTGGTGGTCTAACGGCTATTTCCTTTAAGAAAATCAATCTTTCCCCTTAGCTGCTTTTAAGCTCTTTTGTTTTGATGTTCTCCAATTTCATTATGTTGCACTTGAGTGTGAATTTATTTATTCTGCTTGGAATTCCCTGGCTTCCATAGCTCTGTAGATTAGTGATTTTCATCAGGACTGGAAAGCTCTCAGCCAGTACTTCACACGCACTGTCTGTGCCCATTTATTTTCTCTCTTCTCTTCCGGAACTTCAATCAGACCATTTAAATCTTCTCACCTGTCCTCCAAAACTCTTAACCTTCCTTGCTTGTTTGCCATCTCTGGGTGTCTCTGGGCTGCAATCCAGTTCATCTCTTTTGAACTATCTAGTTCATTAATTCCAGTTATAGCAGTGTCTAACTTGCTGTTAAACCTGTCTGTTGTATGTTTCATTTCAATTACTGTATTTCTTTCTTTCTAGATCATTTTGTTTCTTTCCCCAGTCTGCTAGATTCACTCTATAAATTCCTTGTTACTCTTGGTGATTATAATTTCCCATTGATAGGATTGCCTCCCTTCTCCTCCCTGCTCTGGTCAGGGACAACACCGCAGTGTCTGCAGTCCCCTGTAGTGGGGTGGGGACTGGCACATTTGCTTATTCACACTTTCTCTGGTGCCTTGTCATATGGGGGTCCTAACTTTATGGGCTCTTCTGAGGGCAGAATGAGAGAAAAGCAAGAAGAGGACTTAACACCTTTCCCCATTCTGGTCTTTACACCTCTAGCTGGTGCCCTCTTCCTCAGACTGAAACTCTTCTTTATACACAGATTTACAACAGCCTGCAGGTTCCTCAGGCTTTCCTCACAAGATTTAGTATGTCTGCTCCTCAGATGTAGGCTTCCCTGTCTGTCACGGTCTGTCAGGGTTGAGCTCAGAGAGGGAGCTGGTGGCCCATGTGGGTCGCCATCTTGCTGCAACATCGTCATATAGAAGGTGTCTCAACTAGTGGATATTATTTAGTCATGACTCAGGTTTATGGGGTCAAAGATGGGATCGGACGGGTGTTTCTGACTTATTTCCGGGGAGACAGATTTCTTCTTGACCTATTTTTTTTTTAATCTGTTCTTTTGTATTTCCTTTTTCATTCAGTGCCTTGGCTGATGCCGCCATGGGGAAGAGAGTTTTACACGTTCCCTACAGAGACTCCGTCCTGACCAAACTTCTCCAGCCAGCTCTGGGCGGGAACAGTAGAACCGCTTTGGTAAAGTGACTTTCTTGCAGTGTGTGAGACTGACGTGGCGGTTGCTGTTGTCATCACTGTTTCTGTCACAATTACACTCTGTGTACTGTGACGTCACACTTTGCATATACGTAACACATTCTTCCCTCGCTCATGACTCCTGGAACTCTTTCCACTGCAATGTTCAAATATTGCTTGTTTTTTATTCATTCTCTTCTGTAGTTTTCAGGTTCTCTACATGGAACATTACTATTATTATCCAGAAGAAACATATGAGTTTTCATATCACACTGAGACGGTTGTACTATTCTAAATTGGGGGTCATTTCAGGGCAGGACTAGAAGTGACCTGTGACCATGTGACACAAGGCAGGTGTTTAAGCTGGAGAGGAGCTGAACTGTGTCACCTTAGCGGAGACTCCAGAGTCTTCCTAATGAATGCTGGCCAAGTGGGTACAATGTAGAATGTGTTAAAATTGGGATTCTCTGCCATTTGGCTCCAGGTGTGGGAAGGAACAAAGCCGGGCCAACTCTGCCTGCCTCCTGCCTGCTGTCCCGGTTGGGAGAGAAATGCTCACTGCCCGGCCAGTTCTTGTGCACACTGTCCCAAATTCACAGCAGAAGACATCTTTGTTCTCTATCACTGAGCCTTGCCTAAGCGTTTAAAAATATTGTAACATTTTTCTGGCTATCTGCCCATGGGCCTCAATGGGAACATCCCCCAAGAACCTGGAATTTAAAAAGGGCCCGTAAGATGCTCAGAACGTTAGACTACAAAGTCAAGTGCAATGGGTCTGAGCCGGTGTGTGCAAACACTGGTGGACTGCGGGGCAAGGTCCTGACTCAGGCGCTACAACGCTTTAACAGAGGTAGACATGGTCGGGAGGAGGTTGGAGGTTCCTCAAAGAGCACCTGCAAAGCCAACATCCAGCCATTCGGTCCTCTGTGCTCCGATCCTATTTCTGGCACAAGTATCTTCACATTTCCTTTGCTTTATTTCTACAGTGGATCTACTAATTCTATTCCCTCGACAGTGTTGCTGTGTGTTGGGAATACGTGTCCTGTGTTTGTGTTGTGTATCTGAGGTGTCCGTGAGCTGCCTGTGTTGTGTGTGTGTGTGTGTGTGTGTGTGTGTGTGTGTGTGTTGGGGGGTACATGTGAGGTCGACATAGGCTGTAAATGTGGGTCGCATGTGTTTTCCAAGTTGCAAAGCTTGAGCAATAGTGTAAATCACAAGATAGTCTGTGAACATCAGCTGCTACAACGCACCCCTCTAAAACCGCTCAGGCTGAGAGGCCGTTCTTTACAGATCGCAGCCATAAGCCGGGCTGACCTCTGCTACGAAGAAACTTTGTCCACACTAAGATCCGCGGAAAGGTATGGGTATGAGTGTCTGCTATCCCTCGTGGCTCCCGGTTCTGAATCTGCCAGATTCTTCCAGTACCCTTCCACCCAACGGGTTGGCAGCTGGGGAAGAGGTCTGGGAGGAGGCAGGACAGAATGCTTCCTGGGGGACCCGGGGCCCCCCTGAGCCTGTCACTTGGTCGCTCCAGCTCTGCCTGGGAGAGGCACCGGGGGCTCCAAACAATGGGGATGGACCGATGCCAATCCTGATGTGATTGACATTGGTCTCCCTGTATTTTCCCGCCGAGCGGCATGGCCAGTCACACATTTCTCCCCTTGTCACATGGCTCACCGGGAGCACAGAGAAAGGCAGGCGGGGGCTCTTATGCTAATAACATGGGAGGCCCGGCTTTCCTCTGGGCCGGTTCTCATTTCTCCAGGCCTCACGCATACAGATGATCCTCTCAGAGTAGATGGTCACCAGCGTCTCCCTCCAGGGAGGGGCCATCATTGCCGGGTTCCTTCTGTCCAGTGGGGCCGGGGAGCAAGTCTACACCCTTAGCCTGGGCAGGAGGTTGCGGCCCAGACAGGTTCCTGCTTTTTGAGGCAGGCAATCTGGAACCTGCTTCTCCAGACCCTTTTAAGAAAGATGAGGGTACGGGGCAAGGGAGCCTCTAAGTAGCAGCCCTCCTCCCCTTTTACGTGGCAGACACTGAGAAGCCCCCACCGAGACCCACCTGTCAGGTTCAGACAGGACCTTGGGATTCTGGGCCTCCGACCCCTCAGCGGCATCCTCTATGGAGGGAGGTGATTTCTCATCAGAGTCGGGGTGAAGAACCCAAGAGATCAGGCATGAGCCATGCCTGACACGGGGCGGCTGCTCAAAACCGCAGTTGTCACTGTCCCACCCAGTAGTGGCCCCTCGTCGGGAGGGAGGCTTGCACTGCAAGGACACAGACTAGCGTCTCCCTTCACGGAGCAGCAGCCTAGAGACCGTGTCACACCGTTAGATGTTTCTTCTGGCATCTGCACTGCGAGCTCATGTCTTTGGGCCGACTTTGTCTCTCCGCTCACCAGATGCAAATCTGTTGCCAGCAGATTTTACACGAGAGACGATGTGATGCGGGGGAAGGAGAAAACAGTAGCTGAAAGTCCTGGGCTCACAGCCTGGCTCTGCCATGGGGCCGTGGGCCTTGGGGGCCAAGCCTTAGAGATCCTTCCCTTCCTCACTGAAAGAAGTAAGGTGACCACAGTTAGCCAATCAAAGCCCAGGATCCGCAGTCAAGCTCGAATTTCAGATGCAGAGCAAGTCAGGAATGTGTTAGCTCTGCCCGTTTCTGGCCTGTGCCCTGCAAAGTGGCCCAGGGCCTCAGTGTGTGTTCTTCTTTGCACATGGAAGGGCTAAAAAGATCCAGAATAAAGCTGTGGTCAATACCTCAATGCTGATGAGAGAGTCAAAGGCAGAGAACAGCAAAGCACTGCTTGCACGTGGAAATTCCAGGATGGCAGGTAAACTGAGTCTGGGTCCAGGCCAGCAGCAGGAAGGCGGGGAGCAGGATGGAGGGAGGGACCGGCTGCAGGTTCAGCATGGGGCTTGGGGTGGGGGGACACCTGCTTGGAATCACTGGAGCCCTAGCCCAGGGCAGCCTCCAGGGACATTTTGGCTGTGGCCCTGGGGAAACACTTTATTTTGAGGCAAATGCAGATTCACATGGAATTGTAAGAAATAAAGGGCCCTGCCCTTCCTGGAGGGTCATTTTCAGTCTCATTTTTATTGCCATTTTTGTTCTGAAGCCATGGTTTCTCCCGAGACTACTCTTTCCTTCCCAGAATTGCACGGCGGCCATCTGACGTTGATTCTACTGATGGCCTCATGCAGTTAAATGATGTTCGACTCTCCAGAAACCTTAGTGGCAGCACCCCGACCGGCACCAGTAATCCCTGGGGGCAGCAGAAACACTCACGGCGCCCCAGCTGGTTTTTAGTTTTTCTGCTCCTCGCCTTTGGTATTGCACATCTGTTGCTGAAATGCCTCCTCCCCTTCCAGAGTGGCCGCCCTGTCTGCTGGCTGAACAGGGTCCCAGGCCGCAGACGGGCCAGCTGACCTGGGCACGCCAGCTGCAGCAGGCTCGGGAAGAGTGGCAGCAGCCGTACCTGGCCATCGCCCAGGTGAGCCTCGCTGCCTCCACCTGCGGAGGCCGGCCCCTGGTGGGGACCCTCACCCCGTTCCCAGATGCACACGGCCGCCTGGGCAGCACGTTCAGGTGGGTGATAAGGGGGGGCTTCTGCTTCCAGTGAGTGTGTAGTACGGGAGATGTGACAGTGACTTACATTTATGCTGTGGGCAGGGACGAGAGACAAGCCAAGAGGGTTGATGAGTGAGGCTGAGGGTAGATCCAAGGCTGCCCATAATTACAGTTTGTGGAGAATCTGAGGACCACGAACTGTCTTATGGGGACGTTATGATGCCCTGAACCCAGGTGTCTAGTGTGGCATTCACTGCCGGTATCAGATCCTAAGTGGGCTGTCATGTGACTTTCACACGTGGGTCAGGGAGATGCCCGCTTAGTCCCCATCCACGGCACACTCCTGCCATGACCTGGGCCCCAAAGTCACAGGCTCTGCATGAACCCCAAGTCAGGGGCTAGGCACAGAGCCCTTGGGGAGAGGTGGCATAAGCCCGGCTGGCCTTCCAAAAGGCTCGTGAAGCCTGGAATAGAGGTGAGCCTCGGGCTCAGAGAGGGCAGTTGGGGTGGGGGGGTCTGCAGCCCTGGGAGGCCAGGCCGAGTTAGGGCCCAAGGGTTCCAGAGGTGCGGACAGTAACAACAGAAAAGGATCTGACCCTCCTTACTCTCTATCAGAATTTCAAGATTTAAAAGTTTTCCTTGTGCCTTCACGGCACAGTCCAGGTCTATCGATCCTCTAGAAGGCCAAGACCGATCAGTACTGCACTCAGGGATGAAATGCGTTCAGGTGACCAGGAGAGTCCTACAGCCGTCACATTTGTCATCAACATCTGATGACCAGTAGGAGGAGCATGGGATGTAGGGGAACAGGCTTAGCGGAGGCCTGGGGAAGGATGAGGCAGGGAGGCAGCCGCCTGGGGCCTGGAGATGGCAGGGGGTGCGGTGTGGGAGGAGGGGGCGCAGGGCAGGAAGGAGAGGTCAGGGTGGAAGGGGCCCAAGCGGGGCAGCCGGGAAGGGGGAACGGAGCTGGGGACTGGCTACACTTTGCAACAGTCCTGTCCAGATACATTCAGCCCCTGACGACTGACCTGCCAAGGGTCTCACCCCTGCTCAGCTGAGCCCCCAGCCTCACTGGGCCTCCCTCGTCTGGATTCGCTTTACTGGGCGATTTGACGGGATGCACGGACCACGGGCTTTGGGAGCAAGCGGGTAGGACAGGAATGCTACTCTCTCCTGAGCGTACGAGCCCTGGGACCTCTCCGTGTCTCCTCCAGGAGCGGCAGATGACCGAGACCTTCCCTCACCTCCTCAACGTCAGCGAGGACCCGCAGCTCACGGGTGTTCTCAAGTTCTTCATCCAGACTGGTACTCACCACCTCCTCCCCCCACCCCGACTCCCTCTGCACCTGCCCCTGCTTCTTGCTTCACGAGCATGTTTCCGTTCCTTTGGAATCTCTCTTTTTGCGGTAAATACACGCAACACAGAGCTCCCCATGCTGACCGTTGTTAAGTAGTTCAGGGACATTGGTGCATTCACAGTGCTCTGCATCCATCGCCCCCGATCCGTCTCCAGAACCTTCCCTCTCCCCAAACCGAAACACTGTCCCCAGTCAACAACTCTCAGCACCCCTGCCCCAGCCCCTGCACTTATGACTACTCTAGGCACCCCGTGTAATTGGAATTGTACCATCTCTGTCATTCTGTGACTGGTATGTCTCACTTAGCATAATATCCTTGAGGTTCATTTTTTATTGTAGCAGGTGTCAGATCTCCCTCCCTCCCTTTTAAGGCTGAGTAATAGTCCATTATATGTGTAGACCACATTTTTTTTTTAATTCAAACTTTGGAAAATGGCATCGGTTTCATAGTAAGGTCTGGCTTTCCACACCGTGGCCCTATGCGCACCCCAGGACAGGAGGGGGATCATGCAGGATGGAAGTGGGGGGAAGGCCCCCAGGAGGGCCAGAGTGGTGCTCTGGGCTCTGTCCAGGGGTCAGTGACAAGACAGAGACAGAATGTCACAGACCAGGACCTGGAAACCAGGCTTCAGCCCATCTCCCAAGGCCCAGACGCAATAGTTTCTTCCCCTAGAATTCCCACCAGTAAGGTAGAATTTGAAAAGAGTTAGGAATATCTCCCAAAAAGGGCAGGAGGTAAAACAATTATCCTAAGGCAGCATGGTGTGTAAGGACTTCTGGCTGAAAATCCTAGTGGTAAAATCCCCTTGCACGATCCTCTAGTAGATGAAATGGCATGGCTCAACGTGCGACACGATCCTCCATCAAGGTCAAATCCTAACACACTGACAGACCAATTATCCTCATTCTTTTCAAGGCTCATGTGACGCTGGTCAGGCTCCATCGAATGCCATCCTTCTTCAGGGCTTGGGGTAAGTCTTCAAGAGCCATCTTTGCCCAGCAGGCAAGAGCTGTGACCAGTCAGCCCACAGGAGAGTCTCAATGTTGGTCTGGTCATCGCTGGGTCAGGCCACAGACCTGGCCGGACCACCCCAAACAAGAAAGTGCCAGAATGTCCTTGGGATCCACTCCAGGGCTTCGGGAAGAAAGCCTTGTAAGGGCTTTCAAGCTCTCACTGAAATCCCTGCTGCTGCCCTCTGCTTGTCTCTTCGGCTCTGATGTGGGAGTTAAGAGGAAGACCTGTGGCCAGACGCTGTATAAGAATTCTGCACGAGGGGACCCATGTAGATGATGCCCACCTCCAGTGGCTCACGTCTTTTCTGGTCTTACCCACCAAAGCGACAGCACCCCAGATCCCTGTGCTCAGAGCCCTCCCTCACCAACTGGGCTGAGAGCAAGCCCAGCCTTTGAGGTGATCGCCTCTAAAAAGGGAGGCCCCGCTGGCCCCTATGGCGGTCCCTGTGGCCTGCCCTCTGTGGCCTACCCACGGATTTCCAGCCAGGAGGCTCCATCAGCTCTTACGTACCTCAGCCCTCCCGAGCCAAAGTGCAGGGAGAGTAGGAGAGGGGGCCTGTGCAGACCCCGCCCCGCCAGCCTCCAGGTCCCTTTTCCTGACTCATCCGGGGGACGCCCCCTGGCGGCCTTTGCAGGTCTATAAATGGCCAAACTCCAGATGATCCGAGGTTAGAACCTTTCCCGCAGGACCCCTGGGCTCCGAGCAAACAAGAAATATGGATGTGCATGTGTCTTGACACCCAGAATGTTCCATGACAACAAAGGAGTCTAGGAGCATTCTAGAACAGTTAAGCTGGTCATTCACGGCACACAAATAATATCTTGGGGGCAGCCAGTCTGATACCTCTGACATTGTTCCCCAAGTCTTTAGCGGGTTTGCATAATAAGACCCAGAAATGGATCTAAAGTTCCCCGGGGTATGTGAATTATTTTCAGTCATTATTAGTCACCTGCCCCAGCATCCCCTCAAAAACATCTTTGCCACCAGAGGTCTTACTGAAGCAGGAAAGAGGGCAAACAACCAGAAATGTTCGCTAAAGTCATCACTGTTGTGGCTCCTTTGACAAACTCTTGTCTTTTTAGAATTTCAGATAAACACGCTTCCTTCACCAATCTGGATGGGACAGTGATGGTCACGCCACACGGCAAATGCAAAGTTGTCGTTAATGGGGTGCCCGTCATGACCAAGACGAAGCTGCAGCACCTGGTAACCCTTCCTGCCTGGTCACAGAATTCCCTAAGTCCCACCTGTGAGCTAGGAGAGGAGGATCTCGACAGGTTCCTCCCCACTCCCGCTGTGGTGGGGCTGGGCGGGGGCTGGGCACCAACCACCCCGTGTCCTTCTGCTACAGTGTCATGATGGACGTGGTCATGGCTTGGGGTTGGGAGATCTGATAGTAACTCGCTGTGTGTTCTTGGACAAATCACTTTGCTTCTTGGACTTCATCTATAAAACAGAAAGGAGTGAACTAAAAGTTCATCAAGATGCTTCCCAGCTCTAACGTTTTATGACATCTTAGACTTCTTAAAAAACCTGCCACAGGGAGGGACTGCAGCACCTCACAGAGCCTGGGCCTTCCGTCTCCTCCCCATGCCTCAGCCAGAGTCCCCAGCACCACAGGGACCCTCCCTAGCCTCCCTGTGACCCAATCCCCTCTTTAACCCATTCCTCACACCGTAGCCACAGAGAACCTTCTAGACAAGCTATTGGACCATGCCATCCTGGAAATCCTCAGTGACCACACTTTCAGACACCTGTGTGAGCCGCTCCATCTCCCCGCCTCCTCCAGTCTCACTGCTCTGCACGAAGGTCACGCTGACCTTCTCTTGATTCTTTGGAACATCCCAGGCTCTGTTTGACAGCAGCCTTCCCTGCCTTGCTGAAACTTACCGCCCCTGACCTCTTAGCTTAAATAGTGCACTTTGGGAGAGGACCGCTCTGATCCCTGGTACATGGTAGGTCCCCTCACCCTTCTGCAGAAGCACCCACTTTCATTCAAGCCTCTTTCTCAGGCTGTTATACTATTCGTCTGTAAAGTCCTAGAGGGGAGGACCCAGCTCTGTTTGGTCCCCACTGGGATCCCCAGGTCAGAGCTGGGTGTGGGATACAGAATAATAAATGAAAGCACGCACACAAAACCGAGACGCCAACCTCTTCCTCCCTGTTCATGGGTCTCTTCCCTCTCTGCAGAACTCGTGAAGGTCTTGTGATTTAACACAGCCAGACTGGGCTTGGGGCCTTGGCTTCCCCTGGAGCAGGCTGATCCCACACCCCTGGTCTCCACCCTTCTTTCCCTGAGCCACCTGTCTCCTCCCCAGGACCGCCTTATCTTGGGATCCAACAGCGCCTACCTCTACATTGGGTTTCCTTCAGAGCGAGGCAGTGAATACTTAAGCAGGTTTGGCTATGACTTCTTCCAGCTGGAGAGAGCAGCTGCAGAGGGAGTGAGCGTGGACAAGCTCAGTGAGCAACCCCGGGCCCTGCCTTCTAGCATCTTCCATGCACTGATCGGAAAGCAACTGCTTTCGCTATGCGCTCTCCTGCCTCCCTTAAGAAAATAATCATTTACTGTTTCAAAGTGCAATGTTCGGAACGTTCAAATAGGATTTCCATATACGTGCGGAAAGAGGGCATGTCTAATATTTAATTCGTTAAACTGCTTCTTTAATAAATGGAGTAGGGAGGGGACGGGTATATCCCGATGGCTCTTGAACAACATGAGTTTGAAAGGCATGGGCCCACTTACATGTGGATTTTTTTTTTTTTAATGCAGCATAGTTCTGTAAATGTACTTTCCTCTTCCTTAGGATTTTCTCCTCTCTAGCATACTTTATTGTAAGAACACAGGATTGTTGTAAGAATACATAGAACAGACAAAATACATGTTAATCAACTGCTCACTGCTGAGTCTTCTGGCCAAAAATAGGCTACTAGTAGGTACGTTTTGGGGGGGGGTCAAAAGTGGATTTTTTACTCTAAAGGGGGGTCAGGACCCCAATCAATAGTTCAGTGAGTGGACACTGGGACATCCCCCTAGGGGACCAGAATCCCTACACAAGGCTCTGCTAGGACATTTAAAGGACAGTCATTCCTTTAGCCTTATTTCCGCGTTCCAGAGGTTTTTCTCCAGTTTCCCCTGCTTTCCCCCAGGCGCCGTGTGGCTCTCAGACACAATTCCCACTGCCTTATGGCCAGTCCACCTGTCCTCAGTGGCTGGACGTGCTCTGCCCCCCTGCCCTGGAGCCTCTTGCCTCGGCAGGGAAACTGTGTGGGAGATTCTCAATTTTGAAGCAATTTCTCGAGACATACAGAAAAGTTTCAAGAGTTGTGTGTAGGACTCTCATACACCCCTGAGCTCCTGTGTCAAAATTTACTACACTTGCTTTATCATATATCTGTGTATGTGTGTATATACATAAATATGTGTGTGTGTGTATATATATATCATCTTTAAATGTATATATAGATATATGTTTTTTTCCAGATCATTTGAGATTAAGTTGCATTATGGACTTGACACATGTTTAACTAATTGTTTGTGTCAATAGTGTCCTTTATAACAACAATAAGTTCAAGTCCAACATGTAAGACCACATTCAGTGGTCATGTCTCTCTAGTCTTCTTAAACCTCGTAAAGGTCTTTGTCTTTCATGACCTTGACATTTTTAAAGAGTAAAGACCTGTTATTTCGTATAATGCTCCTTAATTCATCTTTTTGGTGGCTGCCCAGTTTCTCCACTGTGAAGTTACTACCTTTTTTATTAATATTTTATGAGGAGAGGCTTTGATATGTAGACACCCTACACCTTGTCATACCTTCCTCCACTAGTTTTATTGTCCTTTGATCATTCTTGCTCAGATTATGATGATGATTTTTGTCAAATGGTGCATCTCTAGCTCCACACTTTCTTCTCCATTTATTTGAAAAAAATCTGCCACAGTCTCTCTTTGTTTATTCACTCATCTATGTCAATATGAACTCACAGAATCTAGTTTTACGCCATGGGTTTTAATCTGTTGCTTTCAGGGTCTATTTTGATGAGCAAACCATCCTAGATATGGCCTAAGCAGATTTCCATGTCTTCGTGACATGTCCCCATCCTTCTTTGAACACTAAAAATAGCCTCCTTTCTGGCAGAAGAACACGTTCCAGGTTCATCTGCAGACTCTCAGTCCCAGCATCCTGACTCCTTCTGATTGAGAATAGCATTTATAAATCAAGATCTGGGGCCAGGTGTGCAGACCGCTGTATCCATAAATGAATATATCTCTATGGACAGACAGATGTACATCTCCCTCAGACATACGGATAGCTTGGTCTATACCCATAAAACCATGAGTTCCTAGTGATGAATTCCATCTTCAAAGCTCCAGGGGTTAGTCTAGCTTTCCCTTGGTGCAGAAAACTTCTAATATAATATTTATGTCCCATTTTTCTCCATCTGTCCTCTGGATTCTATCCCCTGGAGCAGAGGGATAGGGAGAAGCAGACTCCACAATGAGCAGGGAGCTCCACACGGGGCTCAATCTCAGCACCCTGAGATCATGACCAGAGCCAAAGGCAGATGCTTAACTAACTGAGACACCCAGACACACCCCCACCCCAGCACCTTCTTAAGCATTTGTCCCTGCAGAGTCCCTTCCCCTGCACCATCAAATGCTCTCTGTGGGTCATTCCCATCACACAAACATGCTCCACTATCTTCCACCATAAAAATAAAACCCTACCTTGACCCACATCCCCCTTTAGCTACCGCCATATTGTTTTTTGTTCCCTTTGATAGAAAACTAGTCAGCTATTTCCACTTTCTCATCTCCCATGCATGCCCTGGCCTCCTCCAGGCTGGCCTCCATCCCGACCAATCCTAGACGCTGTGTACTCTGTGTTCTAGATCTGTAGGCACCTGTCCACACCCATCTCACTGTTGTGTTGGCAATGTTTTACACCATTGAGTACGCTCCCCTGTGAACTATTTTCCTCTTGGAACAATATGCCCTCTTCGTTTCCTTCCATGCTGGTTCTCCCACATCCCCTTTCCTGGCTCCCCCTCATTTAACCATGTTGTGGTTGGACCTTGGGACTCTTCTCCAGATGGGTGCTCCCCAGGTCCTCATCCTGCCTCTAGCAGTGCTCAGCGCCGTCTTATGGAAATGACCCTCAGCAGCTCTGCTCCTTGCTATCTACTCGCTCTTTCCTTGGTATCTTCATCCAGTTGCCTTCTCAATACCACCGCCTGCATGTCCCACGGACGTCTCAACCACTCACTGCACCTTATTTTCATACCCAGGATTTAACACATTGCGAATTGCTCAAGCCCCAAACCTAGGTCTCCTCCCTTCCCTCACTTCGTGATCCAGTCTACCTTTCTTCCATCTGCTTGCACTACCATTTCTTTGGGAGCTACCGACTTCTCTTGCCTGTTACTCTCAGGCTGAAAAATATTCATCAACTTTTCAGTGTAAGAATAAAATCCAAACTCCTTACCACAGCTTTGAAGGCCCTATGTAGTCCACCACAACCTTATCTCAGATCACTCTCTCCTTACCTCACTTTGAAACTCCCTGGTCTCTTTGCTGCTACCTGGAGGACACACCAAGCCCTGTTCTGCCTCAGGGCCTTTGCACTTGTTGTTTTGTTTTTCCTTGCTGCTTTGGCTCATTCTCAGCTTTCAACTCTCAGCTGAAATCTTACCTTTCAGATGGATCTTCACCCTTTCTTGGTCTCATCTAGTTACTCTCTTACATAACTCTATCTCCTTCCTAATATTTATCCCATTTAAATTTTTACTTACTGCTTTACTTGATTATCTATATATCTGTGTGAGACTCTCAGCTCTAACTGGGATTTTTTTCTCTTGTTCATCCATTCATTTGTATCTTCCTTCATTCAATAAATATTAGCTGAGCTCCTACTATGTGCTAGATGTGCTTCTTAGTCCTGGGGATCCTGTCCTGCTAGAGAAAACCCAGCCCTGGGTTTCTGAGTAAGATATTCCTTCTGCTCTCAACCTGCCTGCCACCCCCCAGCAATAATCTGGGGTTCCTCGAAGTTAAGAGCATTCGAAGCTCTGATGGTGTCCTTCCTTGTGTCAGGGAGGCTCCAGAGCACCTTCCCGTCTCCCACACCCAGACCCGGGGTGGCTTTGCTCAGGGCTCTCCTGGAGCCTGGGCAAACTGGCCCTCCATGGAGAGCTTTGTGCTACGCTGGGCCCCCAGGCGGAGCAGCAGCTCATACGTGCCAGGCTGACCCTTTCCTAGAGCACACAAGCTTGCCTGAACTTGCCTGAAAACCACGGATGGGGGGCATAAAAGATGCACCGACATGCATGTCGGTCTCCCCCTTTTCCCTAAGCCAGAGTATATGCCTCCGAATTTTAGCAAAATAAACAGATGTGAGATTCACCTCCTTATCCTTTGCTGCTGCAGTTTCTGACCCGAGTGGACAAGGCTCTGGAGTACCAAGCCACGGACTCCGTTTACCCATGCGCACCTGCCTCCCCAGCCCAGGGCCAGAGGCGCAACGAGGGGTAACAAGCCCCAGCCCCCAGTGGGAAGCACTCGGCCTGTGAAGGCTCTGGGTCCTCAACGAGGCAGCCTGGGGACAGTTCTGGGGAGGCAGACCTCAAGGCCGCCGCAGGCCACGGGGTGGACCCGTGGGCAGGAAACCCCTAAAGAGCTGAGAGTCGCTGACACAAGGCAGCGTCAGCCTGGGTGAGGCAGGGGGACCGGCCGTGCCCCCATCTCCAGCACCCCCGGCTGCAAGCCGCCCAAGGAATGGAAGTAAGATCAGGTTACCTGTCGGGCCAGCTGCAGCTTCAAGAGGAATCCCCAGACCTTCACGGGGCCAACCCTGCTTTATGCTCGCTACCTGCCTCCCGGAACAATCTGAAGCCACTTTGGTCAAGGACCCTGAGACCACGAATGGGAACCAGAGGCGGGGAGATTCCTGTGGGATGCCCCCGAGATTCGCGGGTTGAGATGAGTCGGCATTTAAGAGAGTCAGGTGGTGGTTCTTCTCCACACTTGGTTTTGTTTTGTTTTTAAAGATTTTGTTTATTTGAGAGAGAAAGAGAGAGCGTGCATGAGTGGGGGGGAGGGGCAGAGGGAGAAGCAAACTCCCCGCTGAGCAGGGAGCCCGACGCAGGACTTGATCCCAGGACCCCGAGACCATGACCTGAGCCGAAGGCAGACGCTTCACCAACTGAGCCACCCAGGCGCCCCTGGTTTTGGTTTTTGTTTTTTTTAATTACATGCTTATAATTTTAAAATGCAGACATTTGATGAACAATCAAATGAATGAGGAGCATATGAATTCCCTCGTGGCTGACAAGTGTCCCGCACTCAGGAGCACGTGCCGTCTTCCTAGGGGCCGCGGGGACGGGGACGCAGACCCCAGCGTGCTGGCTGTGCTCCAGGACTTCGTCAAACTGATGCCGCTGGTGGCGGAAGCGAATCAAATGGGCGAAGAGCTGGAGGACGGTCCAGCAACCGGTCCAGGAAGGGCCCCGGAGGACAGGGTCCACGGCCCCTCGCACCAGCGCCACGGCCGGCTCCATGGTGTGGACGGGGACACGGGGGCCTGCAGAGGTCAGGACCCGGGACCCCACCATGAGCCAGTGACAGAACCCAGGTCAATACCCAGAACTCTGCCGTCCCAGCTGCTAAGGCCATTCCTTCCACCTCTGGCCACCGAGGCCGCCACAGCCACCAGGGCCCCAGAACTCAGGACCGCAGACCAATGCCTGCCCGCCGAACCACCCCATCCCAGATTGCCCTCCAGTGGGGTTTCTCTGGGTCTGGCACCCCGAAGCTTTCTATGCCAGAGAGGACCTCCATGGGGGTTGGCTCCCTGGTGACACAGGACCCCAGTCCTCAGGAAACTTGCAAGAGACTCACTTCGGGAGGGTCGGAAAAAGGGAGAGACAGGGCAGGGATGGTGACTCGGGGCAAAGTGTTTCTCTTGCTAGGGACTCAGAATGGAACTGAAGGTGAAGAATTTAGCGTCTTCGGACTCCAGGGGCTACGAACTACAGAAAGAGGTCATGGTGAAGGTGACGCACCAAAGGACTCATGAGGTGAGCACGCCTCTGGGGACGGGGTTTCAGAGGTACTTTCCCGGGGACAGAGGTCAATTCGACCCCTACAGCCTGTGGAGACCCAGAGAAGGGACACCACGTGTTCTGAGTGTGAGCTGGGACTCTGCAGACAGAGGACCCTCCTCTGTGGTTCCCTCCTGGGCCTCTCCCACACGGCATCAAGTCCTGAGACTATCCCAACCACCAGCACTGAGCACTTTCTGTTGAATAGTTTTTTAATTTTTAATTTATTTGAGAAAGAGAGAGAGGGAGCACAAGCAAGGGGAGGGGCGGAGGGAGAGGGAGACGCAGACTCCCCGCTGAACAGAGAGACTGATGCGGGACTTGATCCCAGGACCCAAAGATCCTCATCTGAGCCGAAGGCAGATGCTTAACTATTTTTAACATGACTTGAAGTTTTGAGTACCAGAAGGGAGCCCGAGAGTTTAGCCAGCTGATGGTCGTGTCTGTGTGCGAGCAAGACAGAACGAGAGAGAGAGACAGAGAGACAGAGAGACAGAGAGACAGAGAGGTGTGTCCATCTGGAGAAGTGAGAAAATCTGCATGCTGGTTAAGATTCCAGAAAAGGCCTGGCTGATCCTTTCCCATGGTTGCCTTTGCTCACTGCCAAGAGGGTCCCCTTCAGGTACCTAAGACCCCTTGCCTTTCTCTCTGCCCAACAGAAAAGCCTGGGGTGCTCCATTGGTGTCCGTTACGTATTTCTGCCCTCGGAGCAACCCCGGGACCTCTGGCCCCAGCCCAACGCACTCTCCTCAGCCTGTCTCTCTAGACAAACCCCGAATGCTCCAGGGGCGTCTGGGTGGGCAGACAGAGTTGGCAAACGTGCCACTGGCGGAAGGGACCAGCCATCACTGGGTGATCTGCTCTACCAAGCAATGAGCTTGTCCTTCTCTGGGTCTCATCCTTCTGCTCATTCCCCCAAAGTTGTCAAAATCTTCTTAAAATTGTGTAAGGTCACAGGAAAAGAGTTATCAATGGATACTCAGGGCCTATGGGTGTGTTTCCTGCTGGGCACCAGGGTCACAGAGTCTCAGCTCGACAGGGCCCAGGGAGCCAACCTGAGCCAGGCCAGACTGGAGCTGAACTTTTTTTTTTTTTTTTAAGATTTTATTTCTTTATTTGACAGACAGAGATCACAAGTAGGCAGAGAGGCAGCCAGTGAGAGAGGAGGAAGCAGGCTCCCCGCAGAGCAGAGATCCTGATGCGAGGCTCCATCCCAGGACCCCGAGATCATGACCTGAGCCAAAGGCAGAGGCTTCAACCCACTGAGCCACCCAGGCCAGAGTCTGAACTTGAGACATTTTTCTGTTCTTTTCTGTCTCTGCCTCTGACCAACACTGCGGTGGCCTCCTCTGTACCCCCTGGGTCCCTGTCCCTTCGCGTCACAAATCTCACAGCTCTGGAGGCTGGAAGCCCGAGATCGTGGCACGGGCGGATCTGGTATCTGGTGAAGGATGGCTTCACGGGTCAGAGCAGACGCCTTCTCGCTGGGTCCTCACACGGCATTGGGGCCTGGGAGGGCTCTGGGGCCTGCTTCGTCAGGCGCTGATTCCATTCGTGAGGGGCCCACCCTCCTGGGCCAGTTGCCTCCCACAGACTCCGCTTCCTCATCCTATCACACCCAGGCTTGGGTTTCAATGTATGGATGTGGGGGGACCTAACACTCAGTCCAGAGCAGCAGGCTGGACGCCGGCCCCTCGCACACCCCCAGTGCAGCTCTCGGGGGTCCAACGCAGGGGCCGGCCAGGGCCATGGGGGGAGAGGGAAGTCTCCACTGGAAAGGCCGGCTGCACTCACTTTTCAGGAGCTCCCAGGCAAAAGCTTCCAGCCAGGGAGTCTGTGTCCACGGTCACCCCCACTAGTCCTGTAGAGTCTCGCTGACGCTCAGAGGGTGGGGCTGGTCCTCACTGCACTCGAGGCAGACAAGAAAAGAAAGAAATCTTTTAGGGTCTGGAAGATGTTCTTTCTTTTGAGGACACATTACACTCAGAGAACGAGGCGTCTGTTGAGTTGTTTCCAAGTTGCTCAGACAAGGAGTTGCTCGGTTTACCCGTAACCACTTCTGATGGGACGTTTATGGTCCAGAACATTCCATCTCACTTGCATGCCCCCTCCCCATTCTGCATCTTATGCTTCTGTCCTCTCAGCAGCCGTGTCCCTCACCCAGTGAGGAGACAGACAGTGGCAGGCTCTCTCAGGGGCGTGACCTCACACGTCTATCACCTTATTATTCTGTAGCCCAGACGCCCAGCCCAGGCCTCCCTGCATGAAAACCAAGGCGCTGGCAGAGCTATTTTACTTTCTGGAGGCTTGAGGACAATCTGTTTCCTTGCTTCTTCAAGCTTCTAGAGGCCCCTCCTTTCCCAGGCTCATGGCCACCATGCTCCATGTCCAAAGTCAGCCAGGTGGCATCTCCCTGACCCAGCTCCAGCCACCGTCTCTCCAACCGCGTCTTCTGCCTCCTCCTTCCACATTTAAGGTCCATGTGATTACACGGGGCCCACGTGGATAGCCCAAAGTGAATCTCCCTATTTGAAGGTCAGCTGATAAGTAAACTTGACTCCCCCTGCAATGACTTCCCTTTGCCACATGAGGTAACACACGGGCAGGTTCCCGAGACTGGGATGCGGACATCCTGGAGGGCCATTCTTCCGCGAACCACGATCCTCAAACCTCCATTTCTTTTTTTTTTTTTTTTTTTTTTTTTTTTTTAAAGATTTTATTTATTTGACAGAGAGAGATCACAAGCAGGCAGAGAGAGAGGAGGAAGCAGGCTCCCCGCTGAGCAGAGAGCCCGATGCGGGGCTCGATCCCAGGACTCTGAGATCATGACCCGAGCCGAAGGCAGCGGCTTAACCCACTGAGCCACCCAGGCGCCCCTCAAACCTCCATTTCTCCTGGAAGGGCCTGTCGCCTCCACTCTTCGTCATCTCCTCGGAGTCATTCAGTTCCAGCAACTCAAGGATGCTGAAGTGACGGGTCAGGAATGAATGTGGCAAAGTTTGTGGAGAGCGTGTATGGTCCTGGGTACCCCAAGCGCAGGCCACATGAGGGAGGTGAAGTCAGACACCGTTGACTCATCCATGTATTTCCAGGCGTGGATCTGGTCGAAAGCCAAGTTTATCAATAGGAAATTCCTAATGGAGGAACTTTACCAGCACTTCCTGGAGGGGGAAGACAGCCACGTGGCTCAGGAAGATGACCCTTTCTGGGATCCCGTCGAGGCCGTGCACCTGGGCTCGGCTCACGTGTGGCTCCAGCCCCTCGCCTACTGCATGAAGCTCGAGGAGCAGGTGGAGTTCCTCAACTGTGACGGGATGGAGGAGGCCGTGCTGCACATCCACGTGACGCCCTGCTCCCCGGGGGGACAGTGGGTGTCTCCTTCTTCCCTGGTCCTTGGTGTGCCCAGCAGAGAGCTCGCAGCATGCCTGAGCTCTCCCGGGAGGTGGTTAGCTCGGTGCCCTGAGGAGCTCACTCAGCCATGACTTGGCCAAGCCAAATCCAATTGGATTTTTGCCATGGCAGTCAAATCGACTGACCTGGAATTTTCCAGAGCCTGGTGAGGAGGCCCTAGAGCCAGAAGGGAAAGCTGGTTTTCCAGCTCATCCCTTCTCCATCCAGGGTATAGTATCCAATCATTTTTTTGTTCGTTTTCTCAAGGTAGACACTGAGGTGCCTTTGTTCCCCAGCCTGGCCTCATTCTGGGTGGTTATTCGACCTTCTGTGGGGACAGGCTTTGCTTTAACTCTGCTGTATTGTCTCTCTGCCTCCCTCTGGGGAGCCTCCTCTTTCTCTCTTCAGGCCAGAGGCAGTCCAGTTTTCACAAAAGCCCGAGTCTCTTAGCAATCCTAAGAGGCGAGGCGGGCAGGCAGGGGCTCCGTTCTGGGAGCTCGGTCCCCTTGGGCACCCATGGCAGCCTTTTTGTCTTTCTGAAGAGGCAACAGGCTCTGGAAGGGGGCGAGAGGACTGCAAGGTCCTGTGACCCAGGCACCGACCTGACCATCGACTGTCTTTCTTGTGACTCTATGACACTTTCTGGTCTCTGGGCTGCCTCGGGCTTCTGGGCTGCTAGATGGTTCTGGGCTGCTGGGTTGCTCTCACGGCAAGTTAATAAAGCAGGATTCTAGTATCTAGGCTTTGGTCTTTGTGAGCTTGGTGGGAGAAATGGCCCCTGTTGGAAAGCAGTCCAAATTTGCAAACTTGTTGGCCTGGAGTTGGCTCTGGACTGTGAAGAGTCCGCCAAGGAAAGTGGCACCTTGAGAGGCTACCTCTGGGTGGCCAGATGGCTTTCCCTGGGTAGCAGCCCCTTTCTCCCAGTGGGAACCTACCTAGGTCTCCAGGGTTAGTGCATTTATTGCATGAAGTGGATACATTGCTGTCTCCTCCTCAAGAAGGCTGTGAACTCCTTGAGTGTCTCTTGAATGAACGAATTCCACAGCTGGTAACATCCCCCGTCTTTTCTTCAGAGACACGGGCCATCTCTTGAGGAGTCTCAGTGGTCCCCTTTGACCACACAATCCTAACAGGTTGGGCCCCGGCTAACCCGTGGTCCATGTTCTCCTTCTCTGTTTGCAGAGCATGTGGTGACGAGGATGTGGTTTTGGACCCTTTGGAGCTGCTGGGCAAGAGGATGGATTTCCAGATTGGCCTCGTGCGGTGTCTCGGCATCAAGTGGCTCAAGGAGGGTGCGGAGCGGGGCATCCAGATGGGGTACTCGCATGCCCCGCAGAGCCGTGTGCACACACTACCCCCTCGTGGGCCCTGGTGGGAGTCTTGCCTCAAGGGTCAAATACAAGTGTATCATGAAATTTTCTTCAGTTTCTCCTTGCCCAGCCCCAACATGAGTATTTGCTCGTCTGTTTAGTGGAAGCCCCATTTCCTTCAAGGTTGTTGGACAGTAAGCCACGTGTGCTGAGAAGAGTGATTGAAGCAGGACTCACAGATTTTGTCTGAAAGAATATCCAGTAAAGCTGTTTTATCTATATGGGATAGTCTGGGTTTGTTGTTTTGTTTTGTTTTGTTTTTATTTTTGAGTTGGAAACAAAAGGACTGCATCGCAATATGGCAGAAACACCAGATATGCTTAATTAGGCTGAAAGGATTTTAAGTGATCAAGGGAAGCTTTGAAGGACAAAACCAAACCACCACCTCACATGGAAAATGAACATTTTTATATTATAAGTAGAAAGTATTTATCGAAGTGTTTATCCATTTCCTTTTTGTTAGACATGTAATGCCCTCCATGTAGCAGTACTTCTCATGGTAAGTAGTTGAGACGTTGGGGGCGGCACTCGTGACAGGCAGTTACTGGTCATCTTGGATCAACTGACCGATCCAGACCATCGTTCTTGGGCTCATGTGATCCTTTTCTTTAGAAATGTATCCCTTCTGGTTTTAAATGGCGTTTTCTGTGCTTTCAGGTACAGAATTTATGATCTTTCAAGCACTTTCTATACCAAGCCTGTATGGAAAACTGTGAATCCCCAAATAGAAGAAACTGTCCAATTTACAGCCTTAAATGCGTCTCAGGAGTTTCTGAACTATTTACAAACAAATGCTCTCATTGTCGAATTATGGGGTTTTCAAGGTACGCCATTTACTTCCTCTTTGGCGTGATGCAGACTTCCATTAGCTATCACGTGTTTCTGGGGCTACTGAGGGACGGAGAGAGAGGGTGGGAGTCAGGGTCTTAACAGCTAAGAGCCATCTTCTCCTGGGTCCCTGGGCTCTAGTTCACAGGTGATTATACAGTTTAAACCTCTTCGAGTGACACTGGGGACTGACAGTGGGGAGTTTCTTTGCTTGACAATATCTTCCCCACATTGCAGAAGGCTGTGCCCAACTGAACTCCTCTCAGCCAGATGTCATGGTCACAAATGAAGGCCACATCATGGTGGACACCAAGAAAATTTCTACAATGATGGATACAAGCCAGGTGTGCACATTTAGGTGGCATTCAGATAGACAAAGCAGATGACAAAGAAATCCCAGGGATCAGCTGTTGGGGGATCATCAGAGTTCCTTCCACTTAACAAGTGTTTTCTTGATTTCTTCCTGTGTTTGAGGGTCTTAAACCCTGTTCGCCACCACCCCCGCTGCCATCTAGTTGTCCCTTGGTAGTAAAAATTGCCAGTCCCGAAAGGTATGCAAATAATCTAGCCAAAGGCTAAATGGACATGTTTTTTGTAGACCACCTCAAATCAGATATCAGAACTTTATATGAAATTGGTCAAGTTAGAACAGGAGACGGAACTGCTCAGAAACGTTAACAGAGCCTTGAGAGAGGAAAATGTGCTGCTCAAACACTCACTGGAGAAAGCTGCTTCTGCCGAACCAGGTAAGAGACGACACAAGTCCTGGCTGTTTACTTTCTAAACCTCTACATCTGAGAGGTGTGTTTGTATTTCTAAGAAATTCACTTAAAAAATAAAAAAAGATTGTATTTATTTATTTGTCAGAGAGAGAGGGAGAGAGCACAAGTAGGCAGAGCAGCAGGCAGAGGCAGGGGAGAAGCAGACTCCTCACCGAGCAGGGAGCCCAATGTGGGGCTCGATCCCAGGACCCTGAGGTCATGACCTGAGCTGAAGGCAGAGGCTTAACTTACCCAGCCACCAGGTGCTCCTCTAAGCAATTTACTCTTTAATGAGTTGAACTAGATCTTGTTTCATTAAAAAATGCAGAACTGGGAACCTGGGTGGCTCAGTGGATTGAAGACTCTGCCTTCGGCTCAGGTCATGATCCCGGGGTCCTGGGATCGAGCCCCACGACGTGTTCTCTGCTCAGCGGCGAGCCTGCTTCCCCCTCTCTCTCTGCCTGCCTCTCTGCCTACTTGTGATCTCTGCCTGTCAAATAAATAAATAAAATCTTAAAAAAAAATGCAGAACATCCCCCGCCTTCTGCCGGGTAAGGTCTCTTTGGAGGGTCTCAGCGGTGCTGGGTAAACGCTGCTGGGGAATGCCGTCAAAACACAAGTGCAGGCACTTGGAGGAACAGACGATTAAACAAATACTGTCTTTTCTCACTACCTCAGCACGTAAGCCTGAAGGTCCCTCCAATGCCAGCACAGCTGCCCGCAGCCGGGGACAGTCCTCACGTGTCCGCCCAGCGAGCCGGCTCGGACAAGGAGCTGGCCATGGCCCTGAAGGTCTTCTACCAAAGCAAGAATGCAGCGAGAGGACAGTGTCTCAGACTGAGACATTATAAACCTCCTGTAAGTAACCAGAAGCCTGAGAGCACAAGGACACTTTCTCCATTAAATTCAGGCATTTGAGGGAACTGCACTGCCTGAGCTTGGGGAGGAGGGGGGTAGACGCATGAACGGAGTGGCCACGGCTCTCCCGGGCAGCCGTTGTGGGACATTGTGGGACATGCGGCTGCTTCCAGTCCCGGCATTCTTTGACTTTGTGATTAGTAGAGCACTCCCGAAATGCAAATTCATCTATTGTTATAAACCAAATAAGATACTGTGGCAGAAAAACCATGACTACTTCAATAGATTCAGAAAAAGCCTATGATAAAATTCAGCATCTTATCATGGTAAAAAAGTCTTAGCATATTAGGGATAAAATGTGCTTTCCTGAATTTTATAAAGGCTATCTTAAACACAGAGCAAGCATGAGGCTGAGTGGCAAATCCTAAATGCTCTCCGTGTTACATCAGGAAGAAGTCCGAAATGCCACCAATCAGAAATACCCGTTTCCCACTGGACTTGAGGCTCTAGCCAGCACCGCAAGGAAAGAAATACAAGGTAGAAAGATTGAAAAGGGGGAAAAAAATCATAGGGACAATAGCACATATTTCTACAGTATTTACTAAGTGCTTTAGAGTTACTAACTCAATTCTACAACAACCCCTTGCAGTAGGAACCAGGATTATCCTTATTTTACAGTTCAGGGCCCTAAGGCACAAGAAGGGTTAAGTAACTTGTGTGAAGATACACAACTAGTTAAGTAGCAGGTCCAACCTCCAAACCCAGCCAGGGGCACTCCGCGGTCTATATCCTTCCTATTACCTCAGGCTGCCTCTGTTTTTATCCCCAGATGACATGTTTCTGTAAATTAAAAATCCAGAAGATTCTAGAAATTAACTATTGGAATTACAAAGTTGCTGGAAAGAAAATCAATATTTAAAAATTAACTGCCTTTGAATATAACAGCATCAAACAGAACTACCTTGTATAAAAGATGCCATTTATAATTGTAGCAGATATATAAAGTACTCGGGCTTACAACTAACACAAAACTATGGACTTCCGTGGAGAGCATTTTGAAACTCGCTTGAGAGATGTTAAAGATGTAAATAAAGGATGAAACATGCCGTGTCTGCATGGTTGGGCAGATTTGTTCTTGTAAATCTGTCACAGCTCCCTGAGAGTCCGTGTAATCCCAATCAGACGTAGTGGGGTCTGACAAGATGATTCTGTCATTTAGATGGAATCCAAAAAAGTGAAGAATGGCCAAGACCAAGACCCCAAAACATCGTAGGAAGACTGGCCCCACCTGACACCAAAGTCTGTTTTAATGCTACTGTAACAGATGGTCACATCTCGGCCCCAATCAGGTAAGGTGACCAGAGAAAAAGGACAGAAGACCCCAAAACAGATTCACTCAGGACTGGGGACTTGAGAGATGACGGATGAGACGCAGTTGTCGTGGAGAGGATGGATTTTTCAACAAACGGTGCTAGAATTAAAAATACATACAAGGAAAAACGACACTGGAGTCTTACCGAAGAGGACACCCAGAGATCACTTTCAGGTGACAACTAAGGACCCAATCATGGAAGGTAAGAGCCTGGACACAACCATGAGCTCATGGTGGGACAGGACAGGAAAAACAGTGATGGACGCAACGACATTAATATGGTAAACTTGGGCCCAGATACCCAAACAAAGCCAAAAGAAGTTCGAAGGGTTATTTATAACACATTTAACCTACAGCAAACTAATATCCACAGTCGGGAACTACACTCAAAAGGATACACAGCCCAGCAAGGGGAAAAAAAAAAGTGGTCAAAAAACCTAAACAGGAACTTCACAAAAGAACCAAAAAAGTCAATAAATACACAAAAAAGTGCTTAATGTCATTAGAAGTTTGGGAAACACTACCTGAAACCACAATGAAACCGTACCATAAACCCAACCATAAGGGCAAAATTTAAAAATCTCAAAAGCCTGAGTTGTGGCGACAGTCTGGAAAGAATGGAAATCGGGAATGGCCACTTAAAGCATTTTTTTGCCATTTACCCTATAAAAGTTGAAGCTGCACCGTCCCCAGAAACCTGCCACTGTCCCCCAGGGAGTTCGGTGGTCCTGCAGAGGATTTGGCCCCAGTGCCCTGGAGCAGAGGTTCTCGAAGTGTGGTGCCGGGCCAGCAGCTCCAGAATCATCAGGGGTCTTAGAAATACAAACCCAGGGCCCTGCCAGCCCTCCCGAACCAGACCCCTGGTGTGCAGCCCTGGGGTCTGCGCTTTAACCGGCCCTCCAGGTGGCTCTGCCTTGAAGTGTGAGAACCATCTGGCAAGACATTCAACATACGGAATGAATTCACGTCTCTCCTACGTGCCCAGAACAGCACTCGTTACACACACCATTCTTGAGAGAACTGAGAAAACAGTCACACAGATCATTTCCTATTCTGTGGTTCAGTGAGGAAGTGGCTGGAAAACCCTACAGAAACCCGGGCCTACACACACTGGCTGTTCATACCATCTCCCTTCCACCCCAGAAGGAGCCCCAAACTGCAAACATCCCAGTGCACACCCTCCTCGCCGAGGAACACCATCCTGCAGTGAAAACAAGCTCCAGCCCCCGGCCACACGGGGCCACACGGGGCATCTCAGCCCCGACCAAGCGGACCTGTAAATCACAAAAGGCCCCACCCAGTAGGATCCCATAAATGGTCAAGAAACAGGCAAAATAGACTGTTGAGGGCTGCATTCCAGGAGGCAAGTTAATGCTTACCACGCGTCAGGCTAGTGGTTGGGCCTGGTGGAGGGGGTGGGCGGGAGGGGCTAGAGAGGCAGGTGTTTTCTGGGGCAGGTGTATTCACTCTAACACATTACAGGTACTCATTTGTGTGTTTATCTCATGATAAAAAAGAAAGAAAAGCTTTTAGGTGAAAAGCTAAAAAGAAGCCACAGCCTGTTTGTATTACTTCTCACTGCGAATATATAAACAACTACCTTCAAGAGAAAGTTGTGGTCAGAAAACACACTGGAGAAAATGGCCAAGGTACCTAGCAGCCGTTTCACGAGTGATCCTGGAGGCAGAAACTGAGAGGACGCTCGGGGACCGGCTGGGTGCCCGCGCCCATCTCAGCACCGTCCCCCTCCCTCCAGCCCACCCGCACCCCGGCAGCCTCTTCTCGGGCACCTGCTTACCTGGGGTGGGGGACTCGGCAGCCCAGCCTCCCCCGCCCACGGGAGAACCGCCAGCTCCGCAGGGTCCTTGGCCGACGAGTTCGGGAGGAACACCGATCCTTCCAACCTGAGAAAGCGGCGTCAGCGCAGCACGGCTCCCCGTTCGCAGCACCTTCCTGGGGCCAGGGTGCTCCTGGGTGACTCACGCGTGTCCGCCAGCAGCTCTCAGCCGCCGCGCTGGGAGAACGTCCACACGCATTTTCGCTCTCATCACGTGAGGCTACTGTCCTTTTTTTCCCCTTTATTTTCAGGATGACGATGGATTGCTCCGACCGTTTGTGCTCCAACAGTCGCAATGGCTAAAGGACTTCGGGGAGCTGCTGGAATCCAGCTTGTGGAGACTGAAAAGCGATGTTGCTCGCATCGTGAGAGAGAAGAGAGCGGGCTTGCTGCACCCCGGCTAGTGCGGGCCGCTGACCCGGAGCACCTGCGCTGCGCCTGCCGCTCGCCGGGCTGGCCCGGGAGCTTGATGCACTCGGCCCTCCGCTGAGCTGGGCACTCAACATACCCAACCCATTTCTTGGACGGCTTCCGTCCTTCGGTTTGATTCCAAACCCTGTAAAAACGAACCTACATCCAGGGTGAAGGTGAGCTGGGGACGGGCCTGTCTCGGGCTGAATCCCGTTCAATCAGTCACTTCCCCACTGCAGCTGGAGGCAAGTGCCTTCCCCTCGATAAGCCTCTCGTTCCCTAATATAGACGAACGACAACAGTACTGACTGCTGATGCTTAACGAGCATGACAAATACAGGGGCGCCTGGGGGGCTCCGTTGGTCAGGCGTCTGCGTTCAGCTCAGGTCATGATCCCGGGGTCCTGGGATCGAGCCCCGGGTCTGGCTCCCTGCTGGGGGAGGGGGCTGCTTCTCCCTCTGCCCCTCCCTCTGCTTATGCCCTCTCCCTCTCAAGCAAATAAATAAAATCTTTCGAACTATATAAAACACTATAAAGCGCTCAGAACAGGGCTGGCACACTGAAGCATTGGTATCTTTACAGTAAACAGCTTGAAAGTTCAAATAAAGCTGTTTTGATCAATTTCTCGCTGTCAGACCTGGAGACAAACGGTGGTTTCAAACCCTCACTTTGCATCCTTGCTCTGGCTCTGCTGACTCGGCCTCGTTGAGTCGATCTTCGAACCATCCCTCAGCAGCTCGTGCCATGGGCCCGAGTGGGGCAGGGGGTGGGGCTGGGGCCACGGCTGAGACCGCTGTCTGCGGGGGATCAGCCAGGCCCAGGAGGTCTTGGCTCCACATGGAGCTGCCTGCCGGGCCCCATAGAGGGTCACCGGGCACAGGCGGCTCTGGGAAAGGCTGCAGAGAACCCTGGCCTGGACAGCGAGGCTCCCCGAGCGACCACGTGGCAGCTCCCGTCCTTCATTAGGTTTCCATGAGTACGGCTCAGTTGTCTCCAGGTTGAGGCATGAAAGGATAAACCAGGCCTGTCCAGGACTCGGGGTGGGGGCGGGGCGGGTGCTGCCTCTGGAGAGGGCATTCCTGCAGCAGAATGGGGGAGAAAGGGGGGACGGCTGATTCCCTTAAGAAACCAGGACAGAGGAAAGAGGGGCAACAGGCCAAGTGTTTGCCCTGAAGTGTGATGTTAGGGGGATAAACAGGAGGTCACCGAAACTCCATTGGCAGGACAGGCTAGCTAGGAAGGCAGGGAATCTGGTGATTTCTGCTTAAGGATGGGGCCCAAAGGCTGTATCAGGGAGGCTTGGGTTTTTCCTGTAGCTCAGGTGCGGGACTAGTACACACATCAGCTAAAAAACAACCTGCAAGCTTGCAGCCTGAGTGTGGAGCTCCACCTGGGGACAGCGGCGGGGCCTGGGGTCTGTAAGGCCGCATGGTGTCCCCAGGAGCCTGTCGGCGAGGCAGGCCAGCAGGGAGGCCCCAGGAACCAGGAAAGACTTCTACCCCTTGGACTGAGCCTCAAAGTTCTCTAACAATTTGCAGAAATAACTGCAGAAAGGATGTGTACTTTCGGCAAAGGAGCAGCTAGAGAAAGCTTGCGGGTTACAAGGAATGTCTAGACGAGACACGCTTGTACACAGATGTATACATGCCAGTGTCCACCTTAGAGTGGCACACACTGCCAAGCTGCAAAGAACATGATCCTCTAAACCATCCAGGCCTCGGCTCCAACCTGCAGATCTCCCGACCGCAGGCCGAGGAGCCCACTGTTGCATTAGGATTCTGCCCTGTGGCTAGTCGCAAGATCTGCTGCTCCTCCACACCTTCCTGATTTTAGAGAGGATAAGACCTTTCCTAAAGGCCCACCAGTGAGGCCACAGCTGAGACTAATTCCCAACCAGGCTGGGAAGAAGATGGGCGAGACCCCAACACCACCACCACAAACCTCCCTCTTCAAGCTAGCGCCCCACTCAGAAGGGTCCCTCCACCCGAATCGGGTTCCTGTCCATGTCGTGCTTCTCATTGAAGAGTAGAAATTTCATAAAGGCAGTGGCTGTCCTCTTTATGTCATGAATAGCACAGAAGACAATGTATGTGTTTATTATATGCTTATTACAAAAAGGAAATTCCTTTGCCTTATTTTAGGGCTTGAGTGGAAAACCTAGTTAAAATACAAAAAATAGGGGTGCCTCTGTGGCTCAGTGGGTTAAGCCTCTGCCTTCAGCTCAGGTCATGATCCCGGGGTCCTGGGATCGAGGCCCACATCAGGCTCTCTGATCAGCAGGGAACCTGCTTCACCCCCCCTCTGCCTACCTCTCTGCCTACTTGTGATCTCTGTCAATAAGTAAATAAAATCTTGGGAAAAAAAATAAAATACAAAAAATAAATTAGAGAACAATTCTGGTGAGGCAGTGCAAATCAAAAGAAACTGGCCCGCTAGATCTTTAAAACCAACACAGGTACAGAACTGTAGAAAAGAAATGACAGGCCCAATTACTAGCAGTACCCAGGTCAGAGCCCAACTCAAATACCTACGCAGGTCCAAACACAAAGCCACTGTTCCAGTGACAAGTGTTTATTATTCAACTTAGGTAACAGTCAAAAAGTCAGTCAGTGTCGATGGGTGAAAAACTAGGCTAAAATAGCAAAAAAACACAGTTTCATTGGGCAAAGGAAACTCAGTAGATAGAGAAACTCAGTAGGTGAGGTCCCGTTCAGCATCATAGCAGAAGGGAGAGTGGCACTCCCTGCCTCCTGTGACCACCAGCCTGACCGCCTCATCTGGGACCTGTCAGCAGCACAGAGAGAGATGCCCACCCCAGCCTCTGATCTGCCAGCTCATGTTTAAAAACTGACCATGAATTCTTCAATGAAAAAGTCAAAGATTACTTCTCTCTCACAAGCAATAAAACCACAAAATCAGCTAAGATTTGAAATTTAGGGTAAGCTAGTACAATTTCCTGCTTTTAATGTGTACATATTTTAGATGTGACAAATCTTTTTCACATACAGCCAGACAGGATATAGAAGAATTTCAAATTTCAAATTAAAAAAAGCCGTTAATTCATGCATTTTATGCCTTCAGGTAATTCTTCAACTGTTTAGACTTCAGAGCTGCTGATGACACTAAATTCAATGCCGCGCTGGTTGAGTCTGTCAATCAACTTTGTTCTGGAGAAGGCTGCTCCGGGGGTAAAGACCCCACCCCTGTAAGACGAGATCAAGGTCAATCCGGGCACAACGCAAGCTCTAGCCCTCTCCTCTGGGGGTGTGATTCGCTGAAGGCCTGGCCAGCAAGCCATGCAGAGAACTCTGGAAAACCTTCATTTCATACAGACTAGTTTGGGTTCCTTTCTTGAAATCAGCCAAATGAGCAAAGGAGCTATAAGCCACGAGGAAACTAGCACCCAGCAAACTCATCCAGAAGGGCTCAGCTCCCAGGGGGATTGTCTCTGTGGACTGCCGAGTGTTTGAGGGGGACACTGCGGGTCATCAACCCAAGGGACCGCTGCTGTCAGTAAAGGCAATCCTCAGATTCAGGGGGATGAAAAGGGACCTGAGTGAAATAAATTTAGGCAACATAAATAAGACTTAACGTAGAAGAAAAAGAAGGTTTTTTTAAATCTAATGACAATATTTATAAAGTGCTAAATATTTTCAAAGGGTATACAGCTGACTCAAACAACATGTGTTTGAACTGCATGGGTTCACTTATATGTTACTTTTTTACAGTACTATAAATGTATTTTTTCTTATGATTAAACGTTTTCATTTCTCTAGCTTACTTTAAGAATATAGCACATAATACCTATGTCAACAGTAAACTATTCGTTAAACTTGGGGGGAGTTAAACATTACACATGCATTTTCAACTACGTAGGGATCAACTGTAGAATTATTTGGAAAAATTTAATTAGGCTTCACTCTATACCATTTTTATGTTACTGAACATTGTTTCAGGTCATGGCTACATTTGTTTCTAAGCCTGCAAGCCTGGACTTATCTGTCAAGTTGGCCTACTTTTACAGTAACAGCTAAACGCTCTAGTAACGGAGTCCAGTTGATAATCATCTCGCCAAGATGCCATGCATCAGTTCCCACTGGCATCAGGGCTTCCCACTGCTGGCTGGGTGCCATCAGCGCTGGCAAGAGGCTCCTCTCAAGACTATTTAACAACAGGAACCTTTTCTGGGTAGCTGACTCCCACCCTGCGCTATTTTTACAAGGAAAGAAAGCCAGCCTACATAATCCTGAAACTTCTCCTTCATTTATCGCTGCATTGTTCTCAGAGGCCAGTCAGAAACTGTTCTCTCACAATTTTAATTTGCCCCTATCTTTGGGTCAGAGGTACTGTAAATGCTTATGTGCAGACCCAATGTCTGAAAACTGAAAATAAGCTAAAATACAACATAGATGAAAATGATATCTTCGAATTAGAAGAAAACCAGACTCACGTCTTCGGAAGATCCGAGATATCATTCAGAAGAGTCATGGCTGCCTGGACCATGGCTATGGAGGTGGCCACATAGCCAGCCTCTGCAGAAGACAGGTGATCAAAGCAAACTGTTAATGAAGTATGCATTCGACAACACCCAAAAATCAAACAGTCGATTTGATTGCTAACTCTAGGTATACAGAATTTTCTCAAAAACTCTGTTCACTTAAAACTAATAATATTCATATAGTAGTTACTAAGTTAGGATCTGTTAGTGCTTTAATTTTATTAACCACACTTCATTCTCCCAGCAATTATGTGACATTAATCCCAATTTTTTAATCCCCATTTTAAAGGGGAGGACACTGAGGCACAGACTTGAAGTCAGCATGGCTGGGCCAGGAGCACACGGAACTGCCATGGTCCACAGCTCACGCTCCCTGCGTGGCCTCTGGGCAGCAACTGAAGCCAATGAACCTAATTCCTTGTTTCTTTATTCACACACCAGGCTCCACTTAAAAAAAAAAAAGATTCCATTTCTTTAAGAAAAACAACTGAGTAACAG